GAATGTGGTAATGGTAATACATGCACGTCTAGCTACATTATTATCATCTAGCGCAATTATTCAGTTTTTTCATATCATAGAAACTGTGGGTTCTACACCTACCTAGTGGAAGAGTCTATAGCCTTCGCTCGCCAGACTTTTCGCCAAAAATAAACTTCAACCATCCAAATAATGTGAATTCTGATGCAAACAACTATGCTAGAAGGATTCAGTTTATAAGTCTATATCTAGAGAAAGTGCATGTCCTGTAAGGGAGACATTTACTCATTCTTCTTAAATGCTAGATTTGATGCTAATGGTCATATTTAAGTAGCCAACAAAACAAATACAAAGAAGAGTACACATTCAATCACCTACAACAGTCTGTTCACAAATTACATACGACAAATAGTCATAAAAAACAAAAATTATCAACAGCATATAAGTCTAAATATACAATAGTTAATTAGGATATGCCATGACAACTAGTACAAACTTACTTCATCGTTAAATATTGAGAAGAGAGAGCTCTAGGCATATGAAGCCCATATATGGAGCTAAAGTCATCACCTGTATGGATCAAAGGTTACTTCAGATAACCTTTGTATAGCTACACAACTCACAAGTTATCCTAGTTCCCATAGAGAATAGATAGCCACTTCAACTTAGAAAAGGGTTAGAAAATTAACATGAAGATGTTCAAAGCAATTCAAGTTTTGGATAATAGTCATATTTCTTCTCAAATCCTCTCGATTTCTTCTCTAATCCTCTCGATTTCTTTTCAAATTCTGATTTAATCTTAGTTTCTTAAGATTTCTTCTTTCAATTCCGATTTTGTGCCTCAAACGGGTTTGTCAACAAGAATTCGTGATTAAATTGAAAGTCAACAAAAAATTGAGCATTTTAATCACCAAGTACAAAGTTCATGCTTTAAATCAACGAAAATGAACAACTGATGATTTACATGACATTTTTTCCTATATACAATACTTTTTTTATAAATTATTATTGAAAAATAAAAAAGAAATAAGTTATTTACATGTACATTTGGATATATTAGTATTGTTATACAAATTTCTATTTTATAGATATGCTTATTAAAGAGAAAATTAACTCAAGCTGATTTTATTAATTTGGACACCCTCTTATTATGAAATAGGTACACTCTCATAATCTGTCCCCACAAAAACTTAGATAGACTACTTACATGCATAATGTCTTTAGTGTCATATTATTCTTATAAAACATTAGTATAACTTGCAAGGCACATAAATATGCTAGGTATGCAACGTTATGGGTTTTCTTTTCGTTCATTTATAATCAAACCCATAACGCTCCAACGCGCTTAAGCATTGGGACGAGAGAACGATTGAGATGGAGGCTCATGACTTGATTGGCTCCACCTACGAGCTGCCCTCCTATGAACACCACTGGTACGGTCGGGCTGCAGCCGAGTTGAGCCAATGCTTGCTCTATCTCCTTTCCTCTGTTGATCTCGTCGAGCTCATAAATCGTTGGGTTCACACCAAAGTCAAGGAAGAGAGTCTTGATTGTGTGAGACATGCAGCACGAATTCTTACTGAAAATCACCACAGGCTTCTCGTAGACCATCGTTTGTAGCTTCTCCATTGGTGGTAATACTGTGGGTTTTGAAAGATTTACCTAAGGATATTGTAAAATTTACAACTTAAGGGAATGATAGAAAATTTTGGAAACTGAAAGCTTGAGTAATATTGGGTACAAGATGAGAGAAGTGACTTCGAGTTCTTGTGTTTGATGTGTTAAAGGTCGACTCTAAGGGTTCATATATATAGCTTCTTCACGAATGCATCTAGGCAAAAGAAAGTGATAAATTTTAGATGCTATATTGTCCTATTCTCAGATTTAACATTTAAAAAAAAAAATCCTCAGAATAACAAACAAATTAACATATATGGTTCTTAATTTATTTTATATGTTATTTTAACCTTAAATCATTTTTCAAAAATATGCTTAAGTCAAATATTTACATTGTTTTTTTCGAGTCATACGATAAACATAATTATTCGAACTATTTGATGAATGTTTTTATAAGTGATAAATACGAATGATTAATTCTGAATATATATATATATATAATCTTAATGATTTTGAGGGGAACAGTGTCCTACAGTTTTTAAAATAGCAACAGAATGTTAAGATAGTGGGAATATATGTAAAAAATTGGAGTTAAGGTCGGTTCAGTACTTACTCTTGGTTCTCGTAGACGAATGATGAAAAAAAATAAAAAAGAGTTACAAGTACGTAAGGGACAACACAGCGTTTAAGTCTTCTTTTTAAAAATGCGATAATAAAATCTTAGCTGTGAAGAATATATGATACGACGAATCATCTGATGTCAAAACTCAAAATATTACAAAAATCACATTACTTACATGCCTATTAATTTATACTATAATGTGTTATATATATCACATTAAATAAATATCTCAATCCTCTATCTGTTATATTCTTAAGCTGCATAAAATTATAATTTGTTACATATTATTTATCAAAAATGATAAAATATTTCTTACAATATGTAATATAGAGTTTGATATAAAACAAAACTTATCTATTGATATAATTAATTATATGTTGTGACGAAAAGTGAAAAAAAATCTTGTCTTGCGTTTACTTTTTTGTATGTCCTAGTATTATTTTACTGTTGTGATTATTTTTGTACCCGAAATATGGATAACAACATATAAGAGCATCTCCAACGCTCAGATACTTTTCTAGTTTCTCATTTATAATATTTTAATCGGGAAAATCACATTTTTAACCCTTAAAATATAACTGGGAAGTACTTTAAACCTTGAAAGAATTCTACTAACACTACAAACCACCAAGATTGTTTTATTAACACTTTAAACCTTCAAACTAACTTATCTGTTTGCAAAGCTATAAAAATTGATGAAACAATCAATTTATATTTGTTTAATATATATTTATTTAATTTAATTTAAATTCTAATTAATTTTATTATTTATTGCAATTAATAAAAATCTATAAAAACAAAAAAAAAAAACTTTATTTTCTTCGTTTACTCACTGTCCGACCATGAAATTTCTTGATAAACTGTTGAAACAATCTTTTAAACTGATCCATAAGCGTTTTCACTCTCTCCACTGGATAAATAGGAATCTCATAATATCAATTGAATAAAAAGATGGTCAACATATACAATAAACTAAATTAAAATCTGTAAAATTGTGGTCGGACGGTGAATAGTCGAAGATGATGATTTTTTTTTACTTTTTTATTTATCGTCAAAATTGTAATAAATAATAAAATCAATTAAAATTTAAATTAAATTAAATAAATATATATTAAACAAATATAAATTGATTGTTCCATCATTTTTAATAGCTTTGCAAACAGAAAAACTAGTTTGGAGGTTTAAAGTGTTAGTAAAACAATCTTGGTGGTTTATAGTGTTAGTAGAATTCTTTCGAGGTTTAAAGTGGTACCCAGTTACACTTTGAGGGTTAAAAATGTGATTTTCCCTATTTTAATCATTTTGATTATTTATTTATATTTTAAATGATAATTAATAATATTGGCCAATCAAAATAAAGTCACATGTGAAATGGGTTTTTCGAAGTTTTTCCGTAGAAACACGTATCTCATTCTCTTTCCTGATTTTTCATTATTTTCTATTATTTAAATCATAAAAAAAATTGATGAGACACTACCGAGATGTGGATGCTCTAAGATATCTAGTATGCGTTCAATCAAAACTTTTACCATCCATTTTAAAAGTATCGATTGAAAATCCATTGTAAAATCAGTTGATTGCTGGTCTCACCCTTTGACATAGTTTTAGATATGCCATACAAAGTTTCCAGCTCCTTTGCTTCTTTAATATTTGCGAAAACTCGAGATCGCAAGATATCATCTCAAGAATTTTAATATTCTTGTATGACCACTTGAGAGAAAAAGGCAAACTATGTGGTTCTGTTTTAGCCTTATCGTCATGCATGAAATCGAATCTTACGATGTCAAGAATCAAGAATCAAGAATCAAGAATCAAAGAGAGCGCTTTATCCTCAATTCCACGAAATTCTGAAAATCAAACTTGTGGCCAAGAAGATTGATTAGTGAAGCAGCCAAGTGGTGTCCCAAAAAAAGAATTAAAATTTAAAAGCTATAGTTTTGCATTTCCTTGCTAAAAGATTATTGGTGGCCCAATTTTGATGTCAAGAGTCGTTATTCTTATATCACAATACAAGGTTATCATCATTTTAACTTTACGTGATTCACGTACCGACACATTATATGTATGTAAGAATAAGATGCCTAATCACATCTAGTTCCGCAACTGGCCCGTACTGCCTATAAATGGAATATATGTAACAATGCAAAGATTTTCCTTATATAGCAAAATTCAATTCTTTGTTATTTTAATGGTTAGAAACGTCATTTTCTATCATGATGTTCAACAATGTTTCTGTATATAGATATATAGTGAAGAATTTGATGATTGATTTACCTCAATTCTGAATTTCTTGAATTGATGATAGAGTTGTTTTAAGATCCATATCTCAAATTTACGCAATTTACAGTATATTTTACACTTGTAACTAGCTAATTCAATTGACAACCATGTCTAACATATTAGTAACAATTAAGATTTTCTTAGTAACAATCGCATATCATTGTAAGAATTTCATTTAAAAAGTTATGCGCATATATAGAAGTCGATCATATGAAATTACTAGATTGAAGCACTTCGAATAGTAACTAAGTTAAGGCTTGACATTCCACACAATTCAGACTCGTCATCGTTTTTATTTTATGGCATATACAATATTATTAGCCTATAAAATATTTCTTCTTCAATTTTTAAATTATTTATTATGTCTTGGAGCATGTTCTGCATAAATAGTTATATATTCTATTTTTTTCCTTAACACCATAAAAAATCACCTATTTTCAGTGCACATGTGTTCATTTCTTATATGCATATATGTATACAAAGTTATATGAATATAAACATGGGAAAAAGGAGAAATCCATTTTATTATAAAATATAAATATTTCTTAGATGCATGTTTACAAAATAGGTAACCGCATAATCTATCTTTTGAAAACTTAGATAGATCACATAGTAATAAACTCATACATACATTCTTGTAATCTTGTGTATGTTTTTTTTTTTACTTTTCTTGTTCACTTTTATAATAAGTTTCTCAGTACATAATTAATTTGCAATCCCATTTATTTTGAAGTCAAAGCCATAACGCTCCAGCGCGCTTAAGCATTGGAACAAGAGAACGATTCAGATGGAGACTCATGACTTGATTGGCTCCACCAACAAGCTGCCCTCCTATGAACACCACTGGCACGGTCGGGCTGCACCCGAGCTGAGCCAATGCATGCTCTATCTCCTTTCCTCTGTTAATCTCATCGAGTTCATATATCGTCGGGTTCATGCCAAAGTCTAAGAAGAGAGTCTTGATTGTGTGAGACATGCAGCAAGAGTTCTTGCTAAAGATCACTACCGATTTCTCGGATATCATCTTTTGTAGATTCTCCATTAGTGTTATAACGTGATAGGATATTTGAAAACCGTATTGCAAAGGATAAAAATAGGTGTGTTTGGTCAAGATGCTAGATTAGAGATCAAAATGGGAAAACTAGATAACTTATAGAGAGATTAATGATATCTTTGGGTGAAGATGAGAAGTGACTCTGTGTTTCTGTGTTTGTTGATGAAGTGAAGTGTGTAATGTCCTTTATATATAGCTTTCTAAAGTACCTAACCTTTCTTATTACTTAGCCTTTTTCTATGAGAATCAACTTTAGCACAAAATAAAATATCTCAAATAATTAAAGAAATAAAGAACACATTTTAAAATAATGAAAATTAAGATAGTCGAAGTATTCCGAAAGAATCTGAGGATATGATCGGTTCACACGTCTTGACTCTTTGAGTCTCTTTCCCTCTTGCAGCTAAAGAATAAAACTAAACTATCAACTAATTAGGTAAAACGTACAGAACCCAAAATCTATCTTAGATATGAGGAATAATTGATACGGACAAATCATGTTATGTTTCATTAGTAAGGCCATATATCTTCATTGTCAAAGCAACTGATAAAAAGCCGAAATGAGTTTTATCTCGGCTAAACTCATTTAACGTTTAAAATCTCAAAATTCTAAAATAGGTTTTAAGTATCAGATAAAGTTAAAAATTGCTAATGGTGTTTACTCCGGATTTCATTTTGGCTTGGGACTATAATTTTTGGTTTTGAGGATGTTACATTCAATCTAAATATGTCGTCACGAATGCATCAAAAATATCTAACAAATTACCGACATATAATAAGTCTTGACACCCATATACCGAAAGATTTCCTATTATCGTGAAGTCATCGATAATTGAAATTATTGGCGGAATATTTGTGTTTAATGAAATAACGGATACGACCATCAGTAATCTTTTGTTTTCGTGTAGTATACTAATCCCTTTTATATTCTTAATTTAGCTACCCAACAAATTATTCATGAGCAATTGTTTTTGTATCGGTAATGTGGATAAAAAAAATCTACGATAATATGCTTTCAATCATAATTTATAATATCTAATAATCGTTTCATAAGTGTTATGTTGAAAATCAGGTAAAATCATTGGATTGCTGGTCATACAAAGTTGCAAGTTAAAATCATTGGATAGCTTCTTCAATATTTGCGAAAACTCGAGATAGTATGATATTATCTCAAGAATTGTTTTGTTATGACCACTTGAGAGAAAAAGGCAAACTTTGTGGTTCCATTTTAGCCTTATCGTCATGCATGAAATCGAATGTTGCGATGTCAAATAATAAAACAAAATTGAGCTTTATTCCCAATTCGATGAATAAGATTGTTAGAAAGTCAAGCTCGTGCCCAACAAGATGGATTTGATAGTGAATCAACCACGTATATATATCCTAAAAACCAAAATAAACAAAGATGTGAAATAATAGTTGTTTGTTTTTCTCTTCAAAAAAATAGTATTGATAGTGGCCCATTTCGATCTCAAGGGTCACTTATTGTTACATCAATACAAGGTTATCATCATTTTCAGTGTACGCGATTCATGTACCGACACATATTATGTAATAAGCCAAATCACATCTTATTCCGCAACTTGCCCGTACCGTCCTAGAGCATGGAATATATGTAGCAATGCAACGCTGTTCCTTTTATGGTAGAATCCAATTCTTTACACACTTTGTTGTTTTGATGGTTAGTAACGTCATTTTCTACCACGATGTTGAACAATCACGCCCACAACTTTCTTAGATGGATAGAGAAGAATTTAATGTTTCATTTACCTCTATTCAAATTTTCTTGTAACTAAAGATAGATCTGCTTCATTCATATCAGTATATCACTAATTTATACAAGCTGCAGCAAAAGTTTTACTTGGTAAAATAACATCAACTCCTAACATTTAGTGATGACAATGGCTTTTTTTAACCTGTATATAAAAAGTTATAGACAATTATAAATCTATATATAGGTCCATTATGTGAAATTACTATTATGAACCAATTCCCATGATTAAGGCTTAACATTCCATACCTATTAAAACAATAAACCCATATAAAATAAAGTAGTTATTTCTGTCTTTTTAGCTAAACTGAAATACATATGTTGGAAATGCTTATTAGATGTTATTTTCTATAATTGATATAATATTTTCAACTGACCATCAATTAACAGGTTACACATCTGGTTATTCGAAATAATTTTTTAGTAGTACGATGTCTCTGAAATCTATATCTATATTTGTAGGAAGGAAGGAACCGATTAAACACTCGCTATAAGAACGATCTGAATAATGGCGATTAAACATATATATGTATAAAACGATTAATACTGAAAATATGCAAGAAGGATAAACAATGATAAGATCTGTTCTTTCTCTTTACACCATTAAAAAAAAATATTTGCAAATGCATACATTTTCATTAACGTCGACGAATGTTCTTATTAGATCTATGCATGCATGTATATTTAAAATATTTTAACAAAAGTTGTATATATTAAAATATATAAATAGAGGGAACATTGAGAAGGAGAAATCCAAGAGTAGCTGGTTTTATTATAATGGACCCATTGTTTACAAAGTAGGTGACCGCATAATCTATCTTGTCAAAACTTAGATAGACATATCATTAACTCATACATACATTCTTGTGTATGCTTTTTTGTTCACTTTAATTAGTTTCTTCAGTACATTATAAATTTGTGACTCCATTTATTTTGATGTTAAAGCCATAATGCTCCAGCACGTTTAAGCATTGGAACGAGAGAGCGATTGAGATGGAGACTCATGACTTGATTGGCTCCACCAACAAGCTGCCCTCCAATGAACACCACCGGCACGGTTGGGCTACACCCGAGCTGAGCCAATGCTTGCTCTATCTCCCTTCCTCTGTTGATCTCGTCAAGCTCATAGATCGTAGGGTTCACGCCAAAGTCTAAAAAGAGAGTCTTGATTGTGTGAGACATGCAGCATGAGTTCTTGCTAAAAATTACTACAGACTTCTCAGTGATCATCTTTTGTAGGTTCTCCATTGTTGTTGTAATTTTGAAGAGAGTATGGTAAGCAATTCACCGAGGATGCAAATGGGCTTCTTTTGACTGAAATAAGAGATTACAGGTGAAAATTGGAAAGTTAGACAACTTGTAGAGAGAGCTTGAAGTCTTTGGGTGAAGATAAGAGATGACTTTGAGTTTGTGTTTGATGTAGTGAAGAGTCTCCAAGGGTCCTTTATATAGCTTTTCTAAGGGACGTAACTTTCATATTACGTGTTTAAATTTAATGTAACCTTTTTTAATAGAGAATCAACTTTAGCACATAATAAATATCTCAAATAAATAAATAAATAAAACACACAAAAAATGAAAATTTTGATAGTGGGAATATCTCAAGGAACTAGAGCCTAATAAGGAGGAGGGTTCATCCTTCTCGCCTCTTTGCATCTTACAGCTAAAGAATAAACAAAATATATGTAACTATACGGATAACTAAACTTTAGATGAGCATACTATAAGCGTGCTGGAACATTGTTCAATGATTATGAATCATCCAAATTTGTGGTAACTTGAGCCTATGCTTAGTTATTCAAAATTACTTTTTAACTTGTGCGAAACATTCGAGTCAATGCCTCTGTTCTTTTTACCATTTTTTAGTTGTTTTTAGTAAAACTATTTCTAAGCAAAAACAAGATCTATTATGTAATTCTTATAAAATTCCTGCCTTTGACATGTCCTTCACATGATTAAAAGCTGCATTTCCTTCCTTTGCGAAGACTCGAGATCGCATGGAATATCTCTAGAATTTTCCTCTTTATGCGCATGGTGTTTTACGTGGCCTCTTCACTTTCAAGCAAACCGTTCTTTTTTAATATCCTCATGAAATTTCATCATAAATCGATTTGGGAATAAAGCTAAATTTTGTATGATTCTTGACATCGCAAAGATTCGATCTCATTCCAAGAGGATAAGGCCGAGTGGAACAAAACAATAATCTTCTTTTTTTTTTAACTCCATTTCTCATTGGAAGGTGTCCCAACAGTGATCCGGAGAGTCGTTTTTCAAGTAGCTGTAAATCCGCACATGTCTTATGTCAAATGTAGAAGTAGAACATCATATCTACGAGTGTAGTGTTGGAGTTTCTTTAATGTGTTTGAGTAGCTAGCCGTGAAAGTTTTGACCAAAAAAAATTGATTCAAAGAACCACTAGAATTATAACTTTTAACAAATGTTCTTGAGCAGAATGAAAGAACGATATCTACATATCTTCTTCGTTTCTGGCTTCATTCATTTATATTCATTTCATTTATAATCTCATAAGACGGAAAAATGTTTATACACAATTTATCTTGAGCCGCCAGTACTGTTTGAATTTGGATCTCAAATTCAACCTCATAAAACAAATTTAGCAAGAATAAAACGACTTGTACCATTTATAGTTGTAGACTCTCAACGTGAGACTTAGGTCAACATAATGCATAGCACTATAGAATATCCCTGGACAAAAAAATTCAAGTGGTACAATTTTTTCTATATCTTTTAAGCAATATGAAATTGCGACAATGATTTAAATAGAAAACATAAGCCGTAAGAGAAACAAACAAAGGTTTACAATACTAGAAATACTCTTAATGAGCTTTCTTAAGTAAAATGTTTTTGTAAGGACCCCTCCAACACATGGGAATGGGGTTTATGATTTATCACCCCCTTCAAACCCATGTCGACTTGAACTTATCAGCTTGTTATTCGAACGTTGGGTAAGGCAGCAATTGAAAAATTAGTTTCCACAAGTACTCAACATCGTCTAGTACATAAGAAATATTGCCTTTGAAAATAGTACCAAAATCGGTGAATACCATTTTCCCAACAATATTTTAGAAAGCTCCATAATTACTGTCCATTTTGTTTAGAGTGTTTTGAAAGAGTATAGAGCTTATTATTCTAACTTGAGCCATAAATCCTCATCTGTAAAACTCTTCTCGAACAAAAACAATATTTAATTACTTTTAAAAAAAAAAATTCAGATTCATCTAAAATCAAGACAACAGATTACAGAGGTGAATTGATATACTTATTCATAAAACATAGAAAGTACTTGTAGATGTATATATAATTCCTTAAGTCAATTATTTGTCTTGGTATATAACTTACGAAATAATGTATCATCTTATTTTAAAATTCTTATATTTGTATGGGAGGGCATAAATATACAATGCACTGCACATCAGTACATTTCGTATTACCGTACATACAATGTTTTAATTTCTAATCCATGCATGCATGTATAAAAAAGATTAAAATGGGAACAGGGAAATCCATACTAGGTGATTTTATTATAAAGTTTACCCACACGTTACAAAATAGGTATCCTCATAGTCTATCCATTCAAAACTTAGATAGACAAAACATTCATACATACATGTATATGTGTTTTTGTTTGTCATCTTTGATTACTTTCATTACATTATTATTATCATGCTACGTTCTTTACGTAAGCATTCCTTTATTTTGAAATCAAAGCCATAGTGCTCCAACGCGCTTAAGCATTGGAACGAGAGAGCGATTGAGATGGAGGCTCATGACTTGATTGGCTCCACCAACAAGCTGCCCTCCTATGAACACCACTGGCACGGTTGGGCTGCAGCCAAGCTGAGCCAATGCTTGTTCTATCTCCTTTCCTCTGTTTATCTCATCTAGCTCATAGATCGTTGGGTTCACACCAAAGTCTATGAAGAGAGTCTTGATTGTGTGAGACATGCAACATGAGTTTTTGCTAAAGATCACTACCGACTTCTCGGAGATCATCTTCTGTAGCTTATCCATTTGTGTTATAATGTGAAAGTGTGTTAGAAAAGCGCGAAGATGAAAATGAGTATCTTTTGATTAAATGAGAGAAGAGGGGTGAAATTGGTAAGCTAGAGAACTTGAAGTCTTTTGGCTGAAGATATATAAGAGATGACTTTGAGTTTGTTTTTGATGTAGTGAAGGGTCTCTAAGGGTCCTTTATATATAGCTTTCTATGGTACGTAAAGCTATCATTTTTTCGGTTCGAGATCTTTTCAGAGAATAAACTTTATAACACGAAAATAAAGAACCTATTTTTTAAATATAGAATTAAGATAGTGGGATTATATTTTGAGGCTATGATCGCCTCACACGTTCTTGACTCTTTACCACTTGCAGCCAAAGAATAAAAATTTCAATTAATTCGGTAAAACGTACAGAAAACAAAATCTCTTAGATGTGAGGAATATCTGATACGTACAAATCATGTCATGTGTTTATACTAGCTTTATATAGTACTATGCCTATTTCAGTTTCACTATCAAAAGAGATATAATTTAAATACAAATACATATATGTTCTCAAGTTCTCAACATAGTTACATATAAATAAATATAATTATGTTTTACGTGTGAATTTTATTTTTGCTATATTTAAATTTACCAACATTCATCGGGTTGTAATTTCGCTATAATTATCATTTTTTTTTCTTTAATGAAACTTATACATATTGCACACGAGAAAAGCTGCATCTCCTTCCTTTGCGAAGACTCGAGATCGTATGGTATATCTCCAGAATAATCGTATTCTTCTTCTTTTTCGTTTTTTTTTTGATTGTGTGGTGGTTTACGGGCCTCTTCACTTACAATTAAAAACCTTCCTTTATTACTACAAAAATTTCATCATAAATCATTTTGGGAATAAAGTTCAATTGTTTCTGATTGTTGACATCTCAAAGATTCGATCTCATTCCACAAGGATAAGGCTCATTGGAACAAAACAATAATTTCTTTTTTCAAACTCGATTTTCCGATGGAATGTGGCCCAACTGTAATCCGGAGAGTCGTTTATTCATATACTACATATTACAATGTGATCGTAGTCCGTACATGTCTTACGTAAAAATCACATGTTATCGAATCACATCGCATCCAATTCCACAACTATGTCATACAATCCTGTAACTTTAATTATACGCGCAGAAATTTTGGGTAAATCTTACTTTTCCTCCAAAAAAATTGTTAGTTCTTCTTTGGACACTTAAAAAACAATATGCTAGTTTGGCAAATAAATTTAAGATTTATTTCATCTATAATAATGTTTCTCTAACTTAGTTTACTTCATACTCTATTTATTTTTATTTTTTATTAATCAGTCCAATCTTTTTCTACAAAAATAGGATATATTTTTCCTTCCAACTACGTGAGCTTATTTTTTCTCCAATTTATATTAATTAATTAGGATATATGTGTATATATATATATATATATATATATATATATATATAAGTGTTAGAATATTAATCGATGTCTCACATAAAAATTTCAGAAAATAATTGCCATGAATATAAATTCACCTAGACCCTAATTAGTATAAGGCTTTTTGGGGTAGACACAATTATGGAGTTAACATGGATTTTAGAGCCCTCGAAGTAGTAACAAAGCCATGCTAAAAAGAGTGGATAGAGAGAAATGGATGTACGTCTTGCATTTTTGTTGCGTGAGAAACCCTCAATGTGACATTGTTATTAATACTGTTGATACCTTGTGTCGAATTCTTCTCAGAGACGGAGGTAGTGCACAGTCATAAGGGTCAATTGACCTTGATGGAACAAAAAAAATTAGCTGAAACTTTATTAAATATATTAAATTGACCCCAATCCCATAAGAGTTTTGACCCCTGTAAAATTTTATGTTACAAGATTAAAATATTTAAGCCCAATAATTATATTGTACTTATAAATAATATTAAGCCCAATAAAATTTATTTAAGTAAATATACTATAATTAAGCCCATTAATATAAACTAGTCTTATATTTTAACATCTGTTTGTAGTCTAAAAACGTTTTAGCTTCTTCTTCCTTTTTTTTTTTTCAATCTTAGATCATGATATATTAGAAAATCTCTGACTTAATTAAAAACAAATCCAACTAATGATCTAATATTATATTTAATTATAAAAACATCCGCAAAATCTAATTTTTCTTCTCTATTTGTTAATCGTTGAGGAACGCAACTAAAAAACTCTTAAATATCAATTTTGGTTGATTTTTTGATAAATTATTCATTGTTTTTTTTATATGTCAATTATTTTTAGATAAATCTAAAATATCTTTTTATATAATATATATTATTTTGTATTAAAAAAATTTTGACCCCTATAACAAAAATTCCTACCTCCGCCACTGATTCTTCTTCACCTTTTTAAAGGTTAAGTGGCGATTTTCGTCTGTCAAAAAAAATAAGAAAACAAAGTGGTGATTATGACGATATAAGATGGCATGCGAAGATGGTTTCACTAGAAGAACAACCAAGGGTATGTGGTCCTTAGTGTAGAAACTGGGCCACATATTGGTGAGCAGCCAATACAAGATCCAAGTTGTGTATTCTGTAAATCGACAACATTTCTTGTGACAAAGAAAAAGGAAATAGAGAAGCAACGGTTCCTTATAAAAGGACACAATAGATTCAAAGAAGAATTAACCTAACTTAAGGTTAAACTGTTCAAGCTACCTCTATGACAGTAGGATACAATGTCGGCTCTGACCTAAAACCCAACAAGCAAAGGCTTTAGGTGCCAAAATATTATATACTAGTTTGATGGTATCAAAACAATGAAACCACTTGGAGCACGGCGGCTGTTCCATTGTTTATGAAATGGGTTCAAGTCTTAGTAGTAATATTTAGCTATATTTTACATGCGAAAAAAGAAAACTGTTTTTAGGCAGCCCATAGTGTTGAGCCGGCCCTAGTACTTGGATAAAGGGATATGTTCCATGAAAGATCACACGGATGAGAGTCTACGGAGAAGAAAACCAGTTAGGGAACTTTTAGTAGGATCACATAAAAAATAGTTATTTCTGGATGTATAAGGTTGGTTTAGGTGACTGATTTTCGAGGTTAAATTTGTTGTGATTTCAAGTTGTAATTCCTTTGTGTAAATCTTGATTGATAGTGGATATTTTTGGGAGAAGGCTTCCACAGAATATATACCCTCGCAGAGAGGGACTCGTTAAATCTCCGTGATATGTTTTATGTTTTGTTCTTAATTCATGAACTTAGTTTGAGGTGGGACGGAATCGGTGTCTCCAATGCATAACAAGGTGTGAGCTAGTTAGTTCAAGTTTCTTGTAACTATAAGGTTGGTTTAGGTGACTGACTTACCGTACATGTGTACACGAGGTCCTTAGGATATAATGATTTCGGAAAGTGACGAGCTAATTTTCTATTTATAAAATAAAAAACATAAGAAAATAGTTTGGAACATGTTATGCATTCTAAAAAAAAAAAAAAAGAACATGTTATGCATTAAGCGCATTGGGGCATAAAGATAGTAATCAGTACATATTTGTACAATTTTTATATCCGCACATACGATGTTTTTAAATGCATGCATGAATTTACGTCGTCCTTAATGCATCAAAAAGACTTCATAATAACCGATTTGGTGCCATGAAAATTCCTAAACCAAACACAAACTAGTAGTTCTAAAACACAATTTCTGTTTAGAGACGCCCAAATCTAAATCGTAACATCCATATATTCCGATTAAGAGTTAGAGTTTCTTTCATCAAATGTGACATCTTTAATCTTCTGTAACTCACACTTTCTTTTCCTTCATTTTAAACATATGTGTAAATTTCCAATACGCACGGCATACACTTTTCTTAAATGCATGTATGTATTTATAAAAACTGAAAATAGAAATACACCACTAAATGATATTATTATAAAGTATACCAAGCACGTTACGGAAACGGTACCCACATAATCTATCCTTTCAAAACTTAGATAGACACAAAACATTCATACGTACATGTATATGTGTTTTTGTTTGTCATCTTTGATTGGTTTCATTACATTATTATTACCAAGCTACAGTCAATAAGTAAGTATTCCTTTATATTTAGTCAAAGCCATAAAGCCCCAGCGCGTTTAAGCATTGGAATGAGAGAACGATTGAGATGGAGACTCATGACTTGATTGGCTCCACCAACAAGCTGCCCTCCTATGAACACCACTGGCACGGTGGGGCTGCAGCCAAGTTGAGCCAATGCTTGCTCTATCTCTTTTCCCCTGTTGATCTCGTCTAGTTCATAGATCGTCGGATTCACGCCAATGTCTAAGAAGAGAGTCTTGATTGTGTGCGACATGCAGCAAGAGTTTTTGCTAAAGATAACTACCGACTTCTCCGAGATCATCTTCTGTAGCTTCTCCATTGTTGTTATAATTTGAAAGTGTGTTTGAAAAGCGACTCGAGGAGGATGAAATAGGTTGTGTTTTGATTACAAGATGCGAGAAAAGGGATTAAAATGGGGTACTAGAGAACCGTTAAAGAGATTGTGATATCTTTTGGCGAAGACAGAAAATGAGTTTGAGTTTATGTTTTTGATGAAGAGAAATGTCTACAAAGTACTATATATAAGGTACGTAAAGATATGATATTATGGGTTCGATGTAACACTTTTTTAAGAGAATAAACTTTTATAGCAATATTTGCGGCTATGATCGGTTCACACCTTCTTGACTCTTTGCCTCTTGCAGCTAAAGAATAAAACTAATTCGGTAAAACGTACAGAAAACAAAATCTCTAAGTTGTGAAGAATATTTGATACGGACGAATCATGTCATGCCTCTATGGTACGGCCATATATTTTCATTGTCGAAAAATATATCACTTTATCACTTTCAGGGAATTTAATTAGTGTTGATGCTTCATAACTGGTGTATAGTTTCCAAATTTTTTTAATTAGAAAGTGTAATAGTTAATAAAAAAAATAAAAATTTATAAGCTTTTTTAAAAAGGATAAACAAAACCTTACACTATGTGGAAAAGAAAAAGCCTATACATGTGCAAGTTATTGATTAGCGAACATTGAGCCAAAAGTAAACTACATATACACATGAACATGTTAGAAATAAGCTCTACTTCTTGAAAACACGAGATTGTAGGGTATAATTCCAGAATAATCTTTTAGCTTCTTTTTTTTTTTTTTTTTGAGGATTACGTGGCCTCTTGACTTGCCATCAAAACATGCATGTTTTTTTATCAAGAAACTTTGGTCATGAATCGATCTGGGAATAAAGGTAAAATTTGCATGATTCTTGACATCGCTAAAGCTCGATTTCATTCCATGACGATAATTAGGCACAAATGGAACCACATTTTTTTTTTCTAGATCAAAAGGTGGCCCAACATTGTTGCGGAGAGTCGTTATTCATATATGAAAAATACAAGGTCATCATATTCATAGCACGTACATGTCTTACGTATGATCGTATCTAGTTCCATATATCCTTATATTTGTAACGAAAGCATGATTTTGAAAGAAAAGAAAAGAAAAAACAATTTTGGGTAAGTGTTAGATATTATTTACTATTGGAAGGTAAATAGACATACATGCACGGATGTACCACCCTAATGTTGTGTGTGTTTTTTTGTGAATGAAAGTTAAATTTATTCAACCAAAAATCATGTTTACATTATATGCATCCTTTGATAGAAGGTTTTGAAAGGAAAAAAAAAAAAAAGAAGACAAAAGCACAAGTTTTAAGGTAAGACACTTGTTGTGTCTCTTGAGCCGAACCAAATGTGCAGCCCCGTCTTTAAACTTAGAAGATCCCAGGCTTTTGAGGGAACATAGCCGATTACAATCTATGTGTTTAGCAAGCTGGTCAGAGGTGGTTTGGGTTTCTCCATACCGTCTACAGTTCTGTTCAGAACTTTGTTTGTCCACAAAGCAACTAACGAAATATATAAAGATTTATTCCGTTTGAAGTTTCAAATTTGTTTAATTTTTTTTAAAAATTTTAAATTTTGAATTACAATATTTTGAATTTCAAAGTAGTTTAAATGTATAGAACTAATAAAGAAATAATTAATAGATTTGATCAAAAGTGGTATTTGTATTTTTAGTTGGGCTATATTAATTGATATGCATAGAGGACTGAAAAATTAAAAATCTATACATGCATATTTTTTTATTAGTTCTCTTTCCTTTGACCCAATTAATACCAAAACCACCCTCAGTTATTTGTGAGCGCTAACAAAAATAATAACAGGATAAACAGTGTAGTTCTAACAGTAAAAATAACATTATTATTGTCGTCGGAAACACTGTTCATCATCGAAACGAATAAGAAAACAATGATTTTTGTGGTTATCTATTTTATTAACAATGTAAGTCAAATTGTATCGCGATAACTAAAAAGTAAAAAAAACATTGTTCAACCAACATCGAAAATATTATTCATCAGGAGAGGCAATAAAAAGATAGTGATTTTAATGAATATTTATTTAATTATTAATATAATTCATATTGTTTCACGGTAACTTTAAAAGTTATATGGTTAACTTATATTTATCGTACTAAAATATACTCCCTCTGTTTCACAAAGAGTGTCATTTTAGAGTTTTGCACACAGATTAAGAAAACATTAAATTTTTTGTTTTTTCTAAACAAAAACATCATTAACTATATACCTAAACATAATCTGCCCAATAGTAAAACAATCTGCAGAATACTAATAGTCATAAAACATAAAAAATCATTAAATTTTGCATTGAAAACCTAAAACGACACTCTTTGTGAAACAAAAATAAAACCTTAAAACGACACTCTTTATGAAACGGAGGGAGTATATCATATGATTGTTATCAACTAACTTATATAATAACATGTTTATTTATTTATTACCGCTAACTTATACATTAGCATATTTATTTATCATGATAATTTGTTTATCACAGTTAACTTATGTGTTATCGTGGACGTTAAAAAAAAAATCTTCTTCTCTTCTCAAATATCCTCCTCTGTCATCATGTCTCCCAAAATTTGTTTCTTCTTCTTCCATTGTCACCTGCAACTCCATCCCAAAATTCTTCTTTTCCCACCTCTTTCTCTTCGTCCTTTCCATAATTTTCATCCCCAAATTCTTCAAATTAAAAGTTTAATAAATTCTAAACTTGTGTAAGTACTCTCTATCCTTTTCTTATCTTTGTATCACTTTTCAAGCTCTCTATTTTGTAATTTATTTAGTGATGATTGTGTGTTGCATATAAAAACGATAAAGTTGATGAGCCAAATGGAGAGTTAGATTTAGAAACCGTTTGTGAAGAAATAGAGGTGACAACAAAGAAAGAGGAGGGTTTGGAAGAGAGATGGTGATTGGAAATAACAACGAAAAATCTCTGGAAATAATGTTGAAGATCCATAAAACATGAAAGAGAAAGACAAATAATTAGATGTAGAAGAAAAGGGTAAAACTGTCAAAACATCAATCTCTCTCTTATTCACTTAATTAAAAAAAAAACATGCATACATACTTAATTATTTAGTTGTCTGAGCATAGATAGTCATAATACTCTTTTTAGTTTAGAATTTTACTCGATTTCGGATGTATGCATTCTCGTTTGTATGCAACACTAAAAACAATGCAGAACATCAAATAAATTTACGAGTTTAATATACCATAATACCAGCCCTAAATTTTCCATTACGTTTTTCTTTGACCAAAAAAGAAAAAAGAATTTCCATGCCACATATTTTGAATTACTCCCTCCGTTTCAATTTAGTTGTCGTTTTAGGATTTAAATTTTGTTTCATAATAGTTGTCGTTTTAGGTTTTCAATGCAAATGTTTGGTGAAAATTCCAGTTTTATCCCTACTGTTTTAATGTTTTGGCCAATGAAATTTTTTATAAAATATATTAATAAAGGGTAAAACAGAAAATTTAATGCTTTTCTTAATTTGTGTGCAAAAATCTTAAACGACAACTAAAACGAAATAGAGGGAGTACAATATTTTGTTAAAATAACATGACAAAGTACGTAATACTATCACATTTCATTAAATGCAAAGCAAAATCAGAATTATACATATATATATATATACTTAATTTGTTTGTTTCTTTGTTAATTGCCATTTATCTAAAACGTATCTCAATTCTTGGCACCCACCAAAGTGACCCTTAAAATTATCAAAACTCATCTATTTATAAACAAAATTATGCACATTAGCATCACACCCATTTTTAATAAGAAAACAAATGGCACCACACAAAGTGCATTATCATACAATAATGCAAACACCTATTCTCTCTTTTAATTTTTCCATTTATTTTATTTAGTGGTTTTAAACATTCTTGATTTTGCAGTGGGTCGAATATCACTCCTACTTGATCTATTTTATGTTTTCGTAGAAGCAATGGGAGTAAAAACAAATAATAACGCTAGCTCCAGGAAATGAGTCGGACAAAATCAAACTTGTACAAATAATATGTCACATGGAGCTCGCTGGCAAGACATGCATGAGTGCAAGTTCCAGGTTATTGTTATGAATCCTATTTAATCAATGTGTTACACTACTTATGGATCGGAATACAAATCAACGTAGACTGATTGACGGTTTGGTTAAATTATTATGTAATGCGAAAATAAAATGATATTAAAGAGCTTAGCAAATAGCAACCAATGTACTAGTTAGACTACACTCTGTTAGAAACGGTATGTGAGAATCTACTTTGAGATAACTACATGTTCTTTTTGCATCCTCTCTTCCAGATTTGAAATCCATCGTGAGAAAAAACAGAAACAAAAGCAAGCTTTTTCGCTCTTTTGACAAAGCTAGAAAAAAAGTCAAAAGTCTTTCTTTTTCTCTACAATGTTTGTAACATTTCTTAATATATATAAAAGAAAAAAAACATGGACAAGGAGAAATACAACACCAGGTTATTTTATTAGAAAGTATACCCACACGTTACAAAATACTGAAATAGGTATCCTCCCAATCTATTTTTTCAAAACTTACATGCATACATTTTTTTTTTGTCATCCTTGATTAGTTTCATGACATTATTATTACCAAGCAACGATCAATAAGTAACCATTCCTTTATAATATTTAATCAAAGCCATAAAGCCCCAACGCGTTTAAGCATTGGAATGAGAGAACGATTGAGATGGAGACTCATGACTTGATTGGCTCCACCAACAAGCTGCCCTCCTATGAACACCACTGGGACGGTCGGGCTACAGCCAAGCTGAGCTAATGCATGCTCTACCTCTTTTCCTCTGTTGATCTCGTCTAGCTCATAGATCGTCGGGTTCACGCCAAGGTCTAAGAAGAGAGTCTTGATTGTGTGCGACATGCAGCAAGAATTCTTGCTAAAGATCACTACCGACTTCTCGGAGATCATCTTTTGTAGCTTCTCCATTGATGTTATAATGTAAAAGGGTGTCTGAAAAGTGGCTTGCAAAGGATAAAGTGGTTGTGTTTCGATTAAAATGTAAAACTAGAGATGAAAATTGGGAAAACTAGAGACTACTAAAGAGATTGTGATATCTTTGGGTGAAGATGAAAAGTGACTTGGAGCTTATGTGTTTGATCAGTTTGATGTAGAGAATTGTCAATAAGGGCCCTCTATATATAGAGCTTTTCAGGTACGTGAAGCTATGATATTATGGGTTCGACGTAGCACTTTTTTTTTTTATGGAATCAACTTTATAGCACGAAATAAAGGACACATTTTAAATAATGAAAATTTAGATAGTGGGAGTATCCGAAAGAATCTGAGGGTCTGAGGCTAAGATTGGTTCAGACCTTCTTGACTCTTTGCCTCTTGCAGCTAAAGAATAAACGTACAAAAAAACAAAATCTCTTAGCTGTGAAGAATACTCGATACGGACGAATCATGTCATGTCTCTTTAGTACGGCCATATATTTTCATTGTCAAAAAGAGATATCATAGTATCACATTAAGTCAATTTAATTAGTGTTTGCTGCATACTGCATGATTTTTTTTCTAATTAGAAAATTCGGACCCATTAGATCTTAATTTATCTACGGCATTGGATGAAAATTGTATTGACTAGCAGAATTCGATTCGAACATGTGTTATATATGTGTTGATGCTTAACAAAATTTTCTGCTTTGTGATTCTTTTTAATACATAGATAAACTCTTTTTTTAGATATAGTGATATACATATGAGCATAATAAAAGTAGAGCTCTACTTCGTGAACACTCGAGATCGTAAGGTATATCTCCAGAATAATCTCATATTTTTGTTGTGTTGAGGATTACGTGTCTTCTTCACGTACCATCAAGCCATTTTTTATTATTCTCACTAAAATGTCATCATAAAAATTCGATTTTGGAATAAATTCAGTCTTTTATGATTCTTCACATGGCTAAAATTCGATCTCATTCCATGACGATAAGACTCAAAGGAACCAAATTGTTTTTTTTTTTTTTTTCTGGTATGTCTTGATTAAAAGTGGCCCAAGATTGATCCGGAGAGTCGTTATTCATACATGAAAAATTACAAGGTTAATTATCATATTCATATCCCGTACATGTCTTATTACATAACACATATCATATGTTCGCATCTAATCCCATGCCCTCGTACCATCCTATCACTTTTTTCGAGAGATCATATCAACTTTTCTATACTAAATACGTAATGTGTACTAGTTTGCATAAGAAAAAAATGGTACGTGGGTCAGAGTTTGGATCTCATTAAAAAATAAGTTTTTTTTTTGTATAAAGAATTAAAAATTATCTTATAGTAAATAATTAAGAGACATGAGTCAATCAACTCAAAATAAATTAGTAATCAGTAAATTGCAACAAGTTTTTATAATTCATTTTAGGTCTCTTCTAATTTTCGACGTGAGATTCTAAACACATCGTTCCAAGATACCGACTCTTATCAGTTTTTTTTTATTTTTTTAGTCTATTTATAACATAACCTCATTCTAGGACCGGTGATAAATTTTAAGTATGACTATCTTCTCCGAGTAAATAAATTTTGCTCTGATACTATAAAATAAGAGTTTGATTTTTATACATAAGAATAATTAAAGAAAAAATAGATCTTTTTTATTTATTTTTTATTTTAAAGAAATAATGATTTGATTTGGTGATGGATGCTTAGAGTACAAACTTTCTTTACATTCTCTTCTTTTGCTTTCTTCATGCCGACTCAACTACCTTTGTTATATCGGCCGGATTTTCCTACACAACCCAAAAAATAGCAAGTTTTGAAAGAGATTTCATATATAAATAATCTTCATGATAATGAAATCAAACTAACTAACAATATTGGTAGAAAATTTGGTAGGAAAACCTATGTTTTATTGTAAATATAACCAACCAACACGGCTATATATATATATATGTTAATTGAAAAATTTTCGTACCTCTACAACATCAACTTTATCTTCATCCTTTAAAACCGAAATTTCATCATTTTCCGTGGCCATGATATCATCATTTTCCGTGGCTGCAAATTCGTCATTTTCCGTGGTCGGAATTTCTTGAACTTCTAATTCTGTTGTTACTAGAGTTTGTACCTCAGGTATAGGTTCTTCAACCTCAGAAGATGCAATTTCGCTTTCAACATCCTCATCATTTTTATCCTCTATACTTTTCTCTTCTTCTACCACCGTTTCAATATCAATTTTTTCTGTTACCAAATCCAAACATTTACGTCAATATTTCTATACAACACGCCTCACAAGAAAAGGTTATATAACACGTAAATTAAGTCTATAGTTTAGCAATTTGCAACTTTGTAATAAAACATCAAATAAAACTTTACAATTCTAACGTATAATTGTTATGTACGAAGAAATCATCACAAAGTATATAAACATGTAAATTTATCATTTAATTAAATTAAATTAATTATTTGCATACCCTTTTGTCCTTCAACCGGCGAAACGCTCTCAATCTCATTCACGTCGTTAACGGTCTCCTCCGTCACAACATTCTCCGGCACTATCAGCGCCACCTCCGCCACCGGCGGAAAAGTTGTTGTTGTTTCATTTTCCTCCGGTTGTTTGTCACCATTCGTCATCTCTACCGCCACCGTTTCACTACAATCTCCTCCACCTTCCTTTTCCTCCGGTTTCTTGCTATTGGTTTCTACGTTGGTCTCCGGCTGGTCACCGGAAACTACGTCGGAAATGTCATTCTTTTTCCGGCACCGGCAGCTTTCTTGTCTTTTAATTGTTTCGCTCTCTTTTCCTTTCACTGATTCAGCTTCCGAAGGTTTCTTGATCCTCGTGGTGTTTCCCGTAACAACATCATGTTTCGATTTTCCACAACCCATTTTTTTCTAACAATACCTCTAATAAAAACCAATTCCTTTTCTACAATAACCTCTTTTTTTGCTTGTTTTGTAATTGATTTTGTGAATATAAAAAAACAAAGTGTTGATGGAAAAAAAAGATGAATCTTTTGATGGATTTTTATTGAAGGAGATTCAAGAAAACGATAAACCAATTCCAGTTGTTTTATTTTTTTTGTGTTGTGATTCACTTTTGTTAGAAATAGGTTCTTTTTCGTTTTGGTTATTGTTTGGTGTTCCAACTTCCAAATTTAAAGGCGACACCATTTTTTTCAATAAACAAATAAAAATTAAATCATTTATTTTTTTTTATTAATAGAATAGAAAGGTTATGTTTAGTTACTAAAATTATTAAGGAAAAATAGAAACAAATAGAAATATTCTAAATTAATGAATTATTCGTTATTGCTACCAAGAAATTTGAAACTGAAACTTTCTTCATCGTATCGTTTCGAAATAAAAAGATGCACAATTGGTCCAAATGGTAATTAAAATACGGTAAATCAGTGCCAATTGTGTGAACTCACATCATTTGAATGAAGTTAGTGGAAGAGAATTTAATCGGAAAAACAGAAAAGCAGAATAAGAAAAAAATACATGGATATGTACCATTATCAAATTAAAGTAACGGTGTGAATTAGTTAATTAAGAACATGTATAGGGACTCCTATTTGCAAATAATGCATTGTTAATGGTCTAAAAACATAAACCCTAAATCTTTGATACCGGAGCCATCGTCGTCCTTCTTCTCTCAATCTGACGACTCGACTCCGAACCAGTGAAATCACGAGTCATGCAATTTCTCCAGAACTCTCGTAGAATCGCTAAGGTCTTAAAACCCATTGTTACCACCGAGACTAATCTGAGATTCTTCTCCTCTGCTTCTCAAATCTCAAGTTCCTTTCAATGGCGGAATCAATCGTCTGCGTCTTCCTCTGTATTAAAAGGTGCTATCTTTTTGTCATTTCACAGTTCCTATTGCGGAATTAATCATCTCTAGCTTTGGAAATGGAGAATTTTTATGGTCCTACACGAGATTACTTAACTTGTGTAACGTTAGGGAATGTAGCTAGTGATGGTGATGGTGATGATTTGAAAAATTCGAACTTTAATCACTTTTATGCATGAAAGGTGACCACTTTTAGCCTAATTAGTGATCCAATTTTAGCCTGTGTCGAGATACGTACTTATATCTTTCAATGCCTAGCTTAGGATCAATGTAAGTGTGTAAATGAAATAGCTTTATGTCGAAGTGTTAATCCAAGCATATGTATTGATTTTGTAATCCTGATGGGATATTTTATATATGTGTGAGTTATTAAGATAATGATGTGTTGCAGGGATTGATAGATGTAGTCACTCGTCTTCTATGAGCTTGCTGATCCCCAGATCGAGCTTTTCTTCTGAAGCGGAAAAGCTCGCGGGAAATCCTACAGGTTGCTTTGTTTTTGAATTACATTCTGAGATCACCTATGCGGTTTCTCATTGCATTTCCTCTGTGTAGTGACTGTCAAGGATTTGCATGATAAAATGCTTAATTCTGTAAATGTCAAGAGATCAATGCCTCCAAATGCTTGGTTGTGGTCGTTGATTGAGAACTGTCAGAATCAGGATGACATTCATCTTCTCTTTGACGTTCTTCAGAATCTACGGAGATTTGTGAGTACCTTAATGCTTTCTTTTTACATGCCTTGTTCTGTTTCCGTTGAGATTTCTTATACATATCCAGGGTGTATGGTTAATCGATTCTTAATTTTTGCTGTTTCTGGATTGCAGAGATTATCTAATCTTCGTATTCATGACAACTTCAATTGCAATTTATGCCAACAAGTTGCTAAGACTTGTGTACGTGTTGGGGCAATTGACTCTGGTACTCCGGATTTTGATTTTGTGTAGTTTTTTTTCTTAATCTAATCGAATAAGCTGTTAAATATGCTTTCTGTAGCTGTTCCCAGGATCTGAGGGTACTATTACTGTTCTTTGTTGTTGCAGGAAAGAAGGCTTTGTGGAAACATAATGTTCATGGTTTGACACCCAGTGTTTCATCTGCACACCATCTATTGGTATTGCATGTCTATATGTTTTTTCGGTTGTTCTTCTGTACACATAGATGTTTAAGACATATTCTGGATTGTCATGTAGTCACATGCACTAGAGCACAAGAATTCTGAACTCATGGAAGAAGTAATGCAACTCCTGAAAACAAATGATTTGCCTCTACAACCCGGTACAGCAGATTTAGTTTTCAGGTGTGTAGAATTGTTTTGTTGCTTGTTCTTTATGGGTACATTGTAAGAAAGTTGAAAATGCATGTGCTTTCTTATCATGAAATGAACTTTTAACTTGATTTTTGCAGGATCTGTCATGATACAGATAAGTGGGATCTACTAGCCAAGTACTCGAAAAAATTCTCCAAAGCTGGAGTTAAGTTGAGGAAGACCACATTCGATGTGTGGATGGAATTTGCTGCCAAGAGAGGTGATTTTGGTTTCCTATCTTATACTTGCATTGATTTATCATTCTATAGAAGAACTATCATTTCAAGTATTCTTGAAATGTGGCTTTGCAGACACTAGATGGATCTATCAACCTATCAAGTATTTGATGTATCTATATATACATGGAGTTACACTGTTTTGGTACCATTTGGTAATGAAAAAAGATCAGAAATCCTTAAAATTTTGATTATTTTCTCCTTTTCTTAAAGAAACCAAGATCAAAATAGGTTCAGTAGATCATAACCCGTAATTTAAAATTTCTTTCTTAGCTCATCCTTACCTGATCACCAATGGGATTTAGGCTAGACTAGTAATGCAAGAGGCCAATCTTGAAATCTTAACAGAAGAACTCTAGTCCGTGAAGGGTTTTCCTTTTTTTATATACTCTGATGCCAATTGCTGATTATGTCAATCCTGTTATCAGGGGATACAGAGTCGCTATGGAAAGTAGATAAACAGAGATCAGAGACATACAGTCAACACACTCTTTCTACTGCCTTTTCTTGTGCAAAGGTTTAGTTAACACATATCTTTTTCGGTCCTCGTCTTATAACCACATACCAGAGTTATACTTTTAAATATTGCTCTTTTCACAGGGTTTCCTACTAGAAAGTAAACCTGAAGAAGCTGCTGCCGTCATCCAGATTATCTGCCAAGTGAGCCCAAAGACTCCCTTAATATCTCTTCTCTTCTGATACAACTTTTAGCTTTGATAAGTATTTTAGTTTAAAGATATGATGTGTGACTGACTACGCAGGCATATCCTGATGAGAAAAAGTCTGCGGTTTCGGCTGAATTTGAGAAACTTGTAAATGAGTGGCCTGTGGACGTTATCAAGCACCAAACCGAAGAAGATAAGAAGGTTAAAAATTCTGTCTTATTTGTTATATTTCGAACCTGAAACAAAAACTCTGTATCTTCAAACCATACATAATCCTCCATTGTAATGATGAACAGGCTTTAGCTGCTTCATTGAAATCGGTGATCCCTTCCATGGTTAATGCATTGCTAAGCTCGGGTTTGAACGTGAACGTGGATTTGGATGAGTTAAACAAGAACGAAGCTCTTCTCAGCTGAATGATTCATAGGTTTGAAAGTTAAGTCTTTCGTACCGAATTTGATGTGATCTTTTCCTTTTAAAGGTGGCAACAACGTAGAGAAGAGGGAACGAACACATTCAGTTTCTTGCATCCTACGATAACTCATTTTCTCGTTTTGACCTATATGAACAAAACGACAAGAGTTGTCCTGTTTTGTAAGCCTCAAATAATTTCACTCTGTGGAACTTTTGTTGTTGATTGGATTAGTAAAAACCATTTCCTGTATAAAACAGTAATAATTGAGACAAAAAGGTTCATTGATTACAACTACTTATCTATTTTTTTTTTTTTTTTTTTTTTTTTTTTTTTTTTTTTTTGTGCACACAACTACTTATCTACTTACGTATTAAATTCTCCATGTGTATCTAACTACATAGTTAAAAAAAACAAAAAAAAAAAAAAAACAAAAAAAAAAAAAAAAACTACATAGTCAAATAAAAATTGAATATTTTACCATGTGAAAGGGAGTAAATGAAAATAGTTGTCAAAATTGAATCTTCTCAGTTCTCACCATAGAAGCATAGACAATGGAATTTAAAACGTTAAAAAAACAAATAGACAATTACATAATTGATGATAATGAGTAATGACTTCACATAACACAAAACGACAAGAAATAGAAACATGCAAATTAAGAAAGAAAATTTGTTCTGTGTTTTTCTGGTTAAAAGGGTTTACTTAAGAAATTAAGGAAGCTTCAAAGCATCAAGAACAACAAGAAGCATAAACACAACTGAAGCAATAAGAGTGATAGCAACAGAAACAGCAGCTTGGTTACAGAATTTGCCAAACACTCCACAAACTTTCTTCCACATAACATGTTTGTTCCCATGCCTACCCATTAGCCCGATTGCTCCGGCGGCTCCGGTGCTGGAACATAGTAAAGCCACCATCATAAGATCTCCTATCAATACTGCCATTAACAAACATTTGCTTCTTCTGCCTTTGCTGATTATTACAATCATTATCGAGATCGCTGTGTAACCGCAAGCTATCGCGTTTGCACAAATGTTGTACCTACAATATTTGTAATCATATATTGCTTTATTTTTGAATTTCATGCAATCTATAAAATATAAATGAATAAATTTTCTTTGGACAAAAAAAAATGAATTAATGTCTAATTTTTTTTAATTTTTTTATATATATTCATACCATGCATTTCTTGTCATGCCAGCTAGAACTGTTGTAAATTAAATTATAAGCTAAAATAATAGTTGGGAAAGGTCAGAGAAAGATTTGCTATGGACCAATTTCACTGTTGTAATACAGTTTGTTGTTGGACATTTATGATGATAGGATTACTAAGTATTAAAGTTATTGTATACGAGTTGATCTGTCTATAAGATATTATTATTTAAAATATACACACAATAATCTAGCATTTTAATATAAATTAAACATATATACAAAAAATTGATATTTTGTATTGTTTAATTTTATGTTGTAGTTTTGCATTGTTTCTAAAATGTATTTTATTATAAATTTGTTTTTTTGTCAAAGAAAATGATAATATTTTTTTTAAATAATAAATTTCTACATTTCTCTTTATGTTTTTTTTTTTCATGTGTAAACGCAACCACAACGCAAAAATGGCGTTCGAAACAACCCAAATCTGAGACAAAACATGCATGTTTGTGAAAAGGAGAAAGAAAAGAGAGAGGCTTACACAAAAGCAGACAAGTAAGAGGCTTTGGCGGTTGTAGCGACATTAAGAGGAGGCAAAGTAGGAATAAGCTTTATCGGTACAACCTCTGTTTGTTTTGCGACACCAAGTACTGTCGCAGCTACCATTGTTAGGACCAAAGCCAGCACTCTCATCGTTATCTCAACTCCTTTTCTCGACCCATTCTCTTTTTTTCCTTTCTCCATCTCTATCCCATCCATTTTGGTCTTGCTCTCGTGTTCCATTTAGGGATCAAAAAGAAGTGAAGAGAGTCAAAATGAGAAGAAAGAGCGAGATTGAGAGAGAGAAATAACCAATATTGTTTCTTTTGTTTTTTTTTTTAAGTTTCTCATGCTCTAGATGTGAGTAGAGAGGCGTATATATATATATATATATATATATATATATTTATTTATTTATTTATTGAAATAGTCTTACTTAACACACATCAAGTTGTGGATGGATAGTAATGATGTTTACGTGGCTTTTTGAGTTTATGTGGCGTGAGAGTGAATCTCAGCTTACGAAAGAACGTATACGGATAATGTATGGGAACGGTGTGAATACGTTGTGTAGAAAAAAAAAGTGTGAATGAATACATTGAAAATTGTGAAAAAGACAAATTTGTGAAGTTTTTAACTGAGGGTGTTCATTGTAGGTGTCAAAATAAGGTAACATTGGTATGTAAAAACTGATATTGTTTTGACCAAAAAAAAATCATATTCGAAGTGCATACGGATAAAATATGCGTTGGGTATAGTATGGAATTTGGATATATGTGAACTCCCACAAACTATTTTTCTTTTTTGAGGTCAGATATTTTGATTTCAGAAAATTGTTTGGCAATTTAAGTTAGTGATAATTCGAGGAAGTCTTGTACTTTCTGAATTTATTTTTTGAGTGGAATATAAAAATATTTCTATAGGTACAGTAAAACCTCTATAAATTAATACTCTATAAATTAATAAACTCTCTAAATTAATAAATTCTTCCGGTCCCGAGTTGGGACCAATGTAAAATATGACATAAATCAATAAATTAATAAGATAATAATTTTTTTGAAAATCTCATATAAACATATGGTCCCATCGATATCATAAATTAATAATTGTATAAACTTATCAATATATATATATATATATATATATATATATATGATATAAATTTATATATGTCATATTTGAATTATTATAATATATATATAAAATATTCTATGTAAAAAATTTAATTAAATATGACTCTATTATTCAAAAAATGTTTGTATTGTTTTTTTAAACTTAATAATTGCTTCTCTACTTGTAACTAGTTTTTAAAAGATATTACTTATAAAGAAAAAAATTATTTTTAGATAGAAATGTTTTTAAGAAATTACAAAATTAGTAAAATCTCTCTATAAATTAATAATTATTAATTTATCGATAAATTAATACCTCTCTAAATTAATTAATTTATCGAGAATAATTGTTCTACATTTTATTTCATTTTTTAAAATTTGGGTCTGTATAAAGGTTCATTCATTCATTGCTTACAACTTATATGTCCACATTATTGGTTACGTCATTATATAGTGAGGAAAAATAATTAGTTTCCGAAATTTGAATACATGGTCTCCACCATAGAAAACGATTTGCTAAAACATTAGAAGCAATAGACAATTACATGATTGTTGATAATGATTTTATTTTTACATCACACGAAACGACAAGAAGCAGAAAAAAAGTAAACTAGGGAAGCTTAATAGCATCAAGAACAACAAGAAACATAAACACAACTGCAGCAAGAAAAGTGAGAGGAAGCGAAGGAGCAGCTCGGTGACAGAATTTTCCAAAAACGCCACAAACTTTATTCCACATAACATGCTTGTTCCCTTGCAAACCCATTAGCCCAATTGCGCTGGCGGCTCCGGTGCCCGAAAACAGCAAAGCCACCATCACTAGATCTCCTAGCAAAACCGCCATTAACAACTTTTTGCTTCTTCTTCCCCTACTGATCATCAGAATCGCTATCGAGATAGCTGTGTAACCGCAAGCTATCGCGTTTGCAGAAATGTTGTACCTACAACATTTGTAACACGTTACTTATCTATGAATTTTATTCCTGAGATCCTCTCTTTTTTGCCATGAAAGAGTAAAATAAAAATATGTACCAGTCCAGCAATTAGTCTAAATTCATGTTCCTCGTTTACAAAATTTATTTAGATATGCAGGCTATGCACTCTTGGTCATGCCAGCTAAGAACTGTTGGACACTAAATTTAAAGTAACATAAGATCTGGAAAAATGTCAGGTAAAAATTGGCTATGGGCCAACATTGATGTTGTGTCACAGTTTTGGTAGTTGGACATTTATGATTAACTACAAAATTTACTGTATACCAGTCATTTGATTGGTATTATTTATGCATTTATGTGTAACATTTAATTATGAATACTCTATATGGTCTACGGACCCATTAGATATAAGAAGGTTAATTATGCAAAATATTAGTTCAGCAGTCCTTTCCCGCATGCAACCAACCGGAAAGGTCTAATCAATTATCTCACTACCTCTACGTCTCAAATTTAATTATCAGTTTATCCGTAATTGTTATGTTTTATTTTCAACTAAATAGACGACATGTAATACTAATTAAGAGAATGTGCACTATATAACCAAATTCGACTGTTTCATCTGAGAAATAGGTTAAATCATAAATAACTGACTTTTCTTAAACGTAAATAAATTTGTTTATTTATAGGGATTATTTTTGAAAGAACCATATTTCGTACATATAACACATGTTAATACTTATTTTTTAAATATTACATTATTTTATCGGATATAAAACAGGTTACTTCAAATGACCAATTATATTTATAGTTTTTCCATGCTAGCTTTTTTTTTTGTTGTCAATTTTACTATAATTTTTTGTTATCTAGCAATCCAGCCGAATACCAATTGTTTTTCAAGCTTACTACTCAAAATAGAACGTTTGCGTTTTGGTATGCATCTTTGCAGTTTTAATATAAATAACATTACAAAGCATTTGCATATAAATTGGAGTGCAAGCCTCCCGTCATAAATCTACTGTTCATAAACATATTGTACATAAATCAAAGTTTTCGTTTTAGGCAAACGGAAAAAATTGGAGATATGTTTAGACCCCTGCCTGAATATCTGAGCTCTCAAAAAGAAAAAGAAAAAAAAAATCCTACTATTTATATAAGAAATTCACTTTTACAAAAAAATTTACTGTGAATAAAAGTTGAAATTCTTTTATGTGTTTTTAAAAGTGAATTTATAAGACTAAGAAACAATCGAAACCTTAATGCGAGCCACACGTGTGTGTGAAAGGGAGAAAAAGAGAGACTTAGAGCATCTCCAATGGTTAAGAGCCATTTGGTTCTTAACTTTACATCTTAGCATTATTTATAATCTAAATTTTGCTTTTTGTGAGTTAAGAAAAGATAGAAAATATCTTAAGAAAAATAAGCTCCAATGGTTAAGAATAAAGAGAGTATCTTAGAAAAAAAATTCAAATTTTTACAAAACAATATCTTCAAATACAAGGAATCATGTTAAAGAACCAAATTCAAGTCTGTCTAAAGATCAAAACTTTCTCTAGGAACTATGAAAAGTTTGATGGAATCAAACAGAGCTAAAACAAGGAAAGCTTCATACTTATGACATTGACAGGTAAGTCCATTTCAAGACCAACAAGCTCAAGCAGCTTGAAACCATCCATGTCCGGCATGTCGACATCGCATATAACAAGATCAAACTTGTTCTTGTTCTCCCTCAACAACTCCAATGCGGTTCGTGCCTGTGACACAAGTGGATAAATCAAATATATTAGAATTCTCCAAAGTCTCAATTTTAGCAGAACAAGAGACTGTTTCAAATTCAACGAGTTCATAAAGGAGTAAAGCAAGAACCAATGAGCTTTGGAACCACAAGTTGTTAAAGTTCAATGTGTTAAGTTAGAGAGGATATGTTTTTGGTGTGCGATGGTCTGGGTTAAGTAGAGTTAGTGATGTGTGTTAAGCTACGGAAAGAGAGTGTGTTTTAATTAACAAGCAATCAATTAATTACAACTACAAAGCATTGATCACACATAGTTTCTGGTTAGGTTTTTATTAACAGAGAGAGATGAAGTTAAACAAGCAAAAGCAATGACTTCAAGTCTGATTTAGACAATCAAAGTTAAACATAGTTAATGAGCATAGTTAAAGCATTCAGAACAGAGAAACTTAAAGGTGTGTTAATGGTGCGCTAAAGACTGATGTCGACAGCATCATCAAAGCCTAATTTCCAATTAAAATCGCAGTTTTTATGCAAAAGATTTCAAGCATTGATCAGAGGTTCAATTTTATTCAAAAGATCACACAGGGAAAGCATTGAATAAAAGCACCTAATCTAAATCATGTAAAATCAGAAGTTCAATGATATAAGAAAGAGAAAGGAAGATTGTTTAACCTTGTATGAGCTCTTACTCCGATCTAGTTCCTTCTCATCTATAGCCATCTATAGTATTAACACCTGAAACAAAAGAAATCAATAACTTATGACAGTGAAAAAAAAGTATTAACACTAACTAGACAATAAGTATGATGTGGACAATCAAATTAAAGCATTTCAATATCTCTACCTAATCTAAAACAAACAAGATGTACTCATTCAATGATTCAATATCTTCACATAGACTAAAACAAACAAGTTCAAAACATCCGCGTCGAGTTCGTTTGTAATTTTTTTAATTTTATTTTAATAAATTGAGGGAGACATTGTTTCCCCTCGCCTACCAAAAAAAAAAAAAAACAAACAAGTTCATACAAGCTAAAGACTTAACTTAAAAACAGAAAGACATAAATTGAAATGCAACAGGAAGACATAATTTAAAATGCAATCAAATTTAACCATTTCTATATCAATAAAGACTACCAAGCATCGATTAAAGAAGTCTTATCCTACTATTAACTAAACAATATCATTCAAGCATTGATCACACATAGAAATTCTTTACCTAATCAAAGCATTTAGATAACTTTAAAATCTTTGATATATAAGAGAATGTCAAACTGAGAAACAGAATCCAAACCTGCAAATCAATGGTGTGATTGTAGGGAAGATTGTGAAACAGATAAAGAGATCAAGAAACAGAAAATAAAACAAACTCACTCTAAGACAAATCAAACGGATCAATTTCAAATTCTCAATCTGACCACATCAATATGTTATACACCTCAAACGGATCATAGAACCCTAATTTTGTTAAAATCAATCCTAATTATAAGAACCCTAATTTTGCATCGATTCCCAATTTCCCAAAACCCTAATTTCGAAACCATGAAGAGATTCGCAAAGGATTTTCGACTCACACCTCTTCTCAATTCAACAAATCCACCAGAATTGAAGAGATTCGCAAAGCCTCATTTTTATCGCCAAAAGTCGAGTAAGAGAGAGAGAAATGAGAAGGAAAAAAAATTACGCGAAACAACTTTTTTTTTTTGGTTTTGTCTTTTTTTTTCTTCCACACATCTTCTGACACGTGAACACTTCTTAAAACTAAGAAAACCTCTAAGCTAAGACACAAATCTTAGCTATTTAATTTGTTTTGAATTATTTTACAGACATTTAATCTAAGATTTTTTGCTAAGATATGGAAAAATTGTACCATTGGAGATGCTCTTACACAAAGGCCGACAAGTAAGAGGCTTTGGCGGTTGTAGTGATATCAAGAGGAGGCAAAGCGGGAATAAGCTTAATAGACACAACCTTTGTTTGCTTTGCGACACCAAGTACTGTTGCAGCCGCCATTGTTAGGACCAAAGCCAACACTCTCATCGTTAACTCAACTCCTTTTCTCGACCTACTCTCTCTCTTTCCTTTCTCCATCTCCATCCCATTCATATTGTTCTTGCCCTCGTTTTCCATTTAGGGATCAAAACAAAGTGACGAGCTAGGTACAAAATAAGAAGAGAGTGAGAAATAACAAAGATTGATGATATCTTTTTCTAAGCTTCTCATGCTCTAGATGCGAGAAGAGACGTGTATATATATATATTGAATACGCTTACTCGGAAAATAAGACAAACCGAATACGTCACTAAATGTATCTACGTGGCTTGGAGTTTATGTGGCGTGCGAGAAAGATTTTAGCTTACGGAAAGAAAAAACCAATAACGGATATATACGGGAAAGCAAAGTGTGAATACACATTTCATCGAGAATTGTGAAAAGAAAAATCCTCTACTTATGGTTTGGCAAACTTGAGCTAGGTATCCATCAATAGTTAGGGTGCGTGTTTACTCTGCTATGTACTCGGTTAAACACAATCAAGGGTGCAGATGTGGATAAGGAAGCTTGTAAAAACAGATGATTGTGATTTTAAACATTATTAAACGACTAATACATATATATATACAACTGATCTAACAATTAGAAATAAGTGCATTTGCAGAAATTTATTTTCTGGTTGATAGCAATTGCGATAGCAGTTTGATATAAGACCTACCTATAAAGAGTACAATACAGAAATTCTATAAATAAAAAAATTGTTTGATTATAATAAATATTTGAAATTCTAATTTTAGATAAATCATAAAATAACTAATTGAATATATTTATTTTAAAAGGTTTGAATTATTTTTATACACAAGAATCATTTTATCGTTATAAATAGATTTTATCTTGATCTTTTTTTTAGTAAACTTTTACTACTATCGTAGATAAAAAAATTAAATCTTATTTACCCCCAACCAAGCGCTGCTCCAAACATAAGAAAACGTAGCGTTTTAAAATTGTTTGGAAACGTAACGTTTTAAAAGAAAATCAAATTTGAGTGACAAAAAAAAACATAGTATTTTGAATATTCTGAGATAATAAGTTTTAGATTTTTTTTTTGTGATAATTCGAGTGATATCATATAGATAATAACATTAATTTGAATAAAATCTTGTACTTCATATGTTTTAGTATAATTGCCGTTTTGATATTTGCATCAATTAAATAGTTTTTATGAAACTTTTGTTTGGTATTATAATTATTTGCCAAAATTAAAGAAGGATAATAATATATTTGGATATAAAACTTATATTGAAATCATAAAAAATACTTATATATAAAAAATCAGTTAAAAAAAATTTCCGATAAATGCGAAAATTGTATATCTACTTAACATTTTTGAAGTACATATTTGCTAAAGCTAATCGGGTCGGGTTTTTTTGTAATTTTAACCCAAATTTTTTTCAATATGATCTTTCCTTATTTGAGACTTTCCTACATAAATTTAGGAATGCTAAATTACTAAATTAGTTTTAGAAAAATATATCATTTGAGAAAATATTTAAAAAAACATCACATATCTTTAGAAAATTAATATCTCAATTACTAAAAAACAGTGTTCTAAAATACGGCATGTATGGCTTTATATACAGTGTATATACGATGTATTGTGGGAAGTCGTACTGTATTACGGCTATACAAATGTTTGATATGGTGAAAGCTATACGGTTTATATATATATGACGATTATACGGTGATTATACGGCATATATGGGTGAAGTCCACATATACAACGCTTTACTTTAAAGGCTCAAAACAAAAACTATGTTATTTTCAAATGTTTGGAAACATAATTTAACAAAATTATTAGTTTGGTTCTAAAAAAAAACCATAAAAATTATCTATAAAATGACTTATTATCAAACTTTTCTATTATTTTCATGTTTATTAGATATTTAAAATTTTAAAAATATTTTGTAAAAGTCCAACTTTTAACTTTTAACTTTTATTTTTGTATTTATGTATAGTATTCATCATGATTATTATACTTATGTTTTATTATTATTATAGTTTTGTAATTATATATGCATATTTTCATAAATTTTATATCTATATATATATAACAAAAAAAACCACCGTATCAATGACCATACCTTTATACGTTATACGGTGCTAGTATTTTAGAAGGGTTTTGTGCAAAAAAAACCCTCAAACTTGCCCATTTTTGTAACTTTATCTTTTATTTCCGAAAAATGCAGATTAATCTTACGAGGTCTAAAATAATACGCAATATAATCTTACGTATTTTGTAAACGTTTTTTCGGTCACATACATTAGTTTTTTAAAATTCTAAAAGTAGAGTTGAACTCTTCATCGCGAGGGATTCGATTTGACATAATATTTATCAAAATTATGTACTTGAACGAACTTGACGGTAGCGAATAAGAGTTATATTATGTATTTTTTTGGATTTCGTAGGATTAATCTGCATTTTTCAGAAATAAAAGATAAAATTGCAAAAATAGACAAGTTGGAGGGTTTTTTTTTTTTTTTTTTGCATAAAACCCTTTTTAGAACACTGCAAAAATAGAAAACAAATTAAACTCGACGAAAGCCAAGCACCCTGAAGTAAAAATTGGTAGTTTGTATAGTAGGGACATCATTGAAGGTCATAAATCAGAGCATTTCGATACTTAATTCAAGAATGGCAGTTGGCAAGTGTGGACACTGACAGCAGTGTTTTGGAAATACCATACGACTATGTATACACCAACTCGAATTCGTGTCTATTACAAATGGCGACACGTACTAATTTATACAAGAGTTGTTCGTAATAGTATATTTTTATCACATTTTCAAAAACTTCTGTTACGATAAAATAGTAATTGTTGAAAAAGAAAAACAGTTGTGAAGAATTTTACGAGTCATTTACATTTTTTTTGTTCATAAAATGGACTTGACCAAAAGGAAATGACCTACAAATTCTTAGGTATTACATGTCATATAATTAATAAAAAGAATTTGTCCATCACTAGATTTGTGATTTTGACAACTTCCGCCAAAACAATTTTCGGATTTCCGTTATCAAACAGTTGTTCTGATTTTAATTCTAATGCTCAAATAAATATTTGTGTAATCAAATTTTTTAAATTATACAGTTTTCAAAGCTGTTGGTAGCGGCAACTAATTAGACCATCTTTATTGATAGTCTCTTAAATTTAAGACACTTTTGTTAGTTATAAGACATGTCTCTTAACATAAGAGTTGTCTTAAGAAACTACCAATAATGTTTTTCTAAGAACATCTCCATTATATATATGTAAGAACAACAACTATTGTATTGTGTAAGAAAAAGTTGTATTTTTGATATGTAAAAGGTGATAAACTACATCATAGTCGTACATGTACATCTAATATGTAACAACAGTAGCAAATTTGTTTGCCATCATTACACTTCCAGTGTAAATTAGTAGAACTTATAAAAAGTAAAAGAAAATTGTAGAACTTCAATATCTTTACTTTGAATTATTGCTTTTCCTACTATCAATTGAGACAGACGTATAACGGTATATGTAGGCCGTATAAAGGCCTTGAATGTTTATTAATTTTTGTAATAGTTTTTGGTTTTTGTTTTTGAAAAACTCATTTTTCACCCATTCAAGATTTTGTGAAAATGGTTTTCCTAAAAAATAGAAAATCTAGTTTTTGCAAAATTTTGACAATTTTTCGATCCAAAATCCACTTTATTTGAGTTTTTCACTTTTTCTAAACAAATTTTTAACGTAACATTTTTTTTCATTTTTCTATTTTTTTTTCTTTTATTTTTGCAAAATCCAAAAACCAAAACTAAAAATCTAAAATCCAAAAATCAAAATCTATAATCTAAAAACTATTTAAAAACTGACAACCATTCATGGCCAAAGTCATAATGTCTTGGAACAACGAGATCGTATTCTTGTTTTTCATCACATCTTTATTTCTTTTCTAGGAATTTAAATTAAAGTCAATCTTTTGAATTACCATATTTGTTCACAAAAAAATATCTAATAAGTTTTTTTTTTTGGTTTTGTATTTTTAATGAGTTGTCAAAACTGTTTCAAACAAATGGGATACTTATAAGGTCGTTGGATAACACATATCATTGCGATTATAATATCTAAGATTCCGAATATAGCTATTAGAGTTTTTCACGCAATCATAAGCTAAAATAATAGCCCGTCGGGGACATCTAGACTCAAAGATACGTACGTACGTAAGTTGATTAATCGTATTGGATAATCGTAAATTATGGGTTCTCTTGAGGCTACGGCTAAACTAATAAACAAAGATATACTATTAAAATTTTGTGATGCAATAGATACCAGCTCTCAACGGTCAATGGCCAACAAATGATCATTTTCACTACGACCTCTAAATTTTATTAATCACAATTATTTTTGCCATCTTTAACCATAATACTTTTCTTTATGAATGCAAAAAATTATCGAGCCACAACACTCGATCACACAATTATACAAAACAATGAATAACATTCAAAGATTCACTAGAAACTCGGTTTACAAATAAACTAATCACACAATTATACAAAACCATCGACATTTAAATAATACAACACTACTAATTGAACTAAAACACATAAAACTCAACTTCGACAAATACCAAAGAAAAAACAAGAACGAGATCAATATGAATTGACTTAAGAGAAACAACGAAACAACGAAACAACGAAACAACGAAACAAGGAAAGTGAATCAACGGATTTTCTTGTAGAGGGAGAGGACAGAGATGATGGAGAGGAGGAGGAGGATGACCGAAGCAAACAATGAGACGGCGATTGCGCCTCCGACATGACGGCAAAACTTGTCGTAGATATTACATATTTTGCCCCATCTCACTTCTTTGTTTCCCTTCAGACCAAGGTAAGCTACTCCACCTCCTGCTCCGGTTGCCGAGGCCACTATCCCCACCATCACCTGTTAAAACGATGTCGTTGTACGTTAGGTTAAGTAATAATGAAAGAAAACATTAAGTTTACTACTTGAGAAACGGTTTTACTTGGTTTTATGTATTGTAGTATCTTATTTTTTGGGTACTAGGAGTAGCAAAAAAACGTCAATTTGTTTTTTGCATGGGTTTTAAATTCATTTTTTTTGTTACGGCGGTGAGTAATTGTGCGAGAGAGAATTAATTACCGCATCCATAATGGCAAGATTTAGCAAGAGAATCGCCGAGCAGGAATGCTTCTTGAAAGCAGATACGGTGACAAATGTAGACACAATGCTGTAAAAGCAAGCCACCGATAGTGCTACCACAAAGTATCTGCTCATTATATTAACAAACGAAAAAAATAGATTCAGTTATTAAATATATACTCCATAAATTAAAAGAAATATACGATATTAAAATCATATGATCTAAAGATGCTTTATCATTATCACTGACCATTTAATATAATTTTGAGTCTTTTTCGTTTACTAACTTTCGCCAACTTACTTTTGACTTTCCAAAATCTTTCTTTCGAAATTCCAACTACTCCCACGCACACAAATAAACAAATCATATAATATCGGCCATTTGCATAGATTTTACTTGTTAAAATATAGGCTTAAACATCTACATAACACTACCTTCATTTTTTTTTCATATACATGACCAATTCTCTTGGTTTCTCAAAATTAAAATATATATATATATATATAGAAAAAAATCAATCAATTGTATTACACTATCCTAATTTGACATGACTTCTTCTAGTTAGGATTAAGATATGGTTTAAGACCCGTGCTAAATAAACCAACCTCTATTCCAAATTACAACGCTACTTCTACAAAAAGCACAACAAACCATAATTATATTGTGCACTTAGTTTGACTATATGAGATATACAAATCACATATGAACTCCGGCCCTTAATTAGTCACATTTACTATAGATAATCAATCAATTTCGAGAAAATAAAAGAATATATAGTGGATTAATTAATGAATTATTAGGGTGAACTTACATAAGAGCCGGTGAGTTGGTGAACTTTGCAGCAGGAATACGAATGGGAGTTCCAGGAATGAAAATGTTCTTGGTCTGTTTACTTGTAACCATAACCACTATTGATGTCAAAGTGGCTGCAAACAGAACGAATCTTAAGACAACTTGAGTTATCGAACAACTCTTCGTCGTGGTGCCGGTTCGTGGCACGGTTGATCTCTCGGTGTCCAACGTCGATTTGGTTTCATCAGAACCCATAACTTAATCTTGATTTGTTAGGAAAGGTGATATGAATTTTTTTTTTTTTTATGGGGATGTGGTGATTATTTAGGTGTGTTGAGGGGGCGTTTTATATTGTGGGTTTGAAAGAAGTAATTGAGTTTTTTTTTTTTTTTTTTATTGTTATTATAATATAAAGTCGTGGGACTAATATGGTGGGTGTTTCAGACACGCCAGAGTATTTGAAAATCGTAAAGGGTCAATATTTTCATATTATCATATATATCCGTAAGACTCATCTTCTGCATTCTCATCTTTATTGATGAGCTAATGTGAAACTACACTAATATGGTGGGTGTTTCACACACACGATATTTTATGGTAGTTAATGTGAAACTACGCTAAAATATCGTGTGTGTGAGTGTGTGATTCCATGTTGTCGACATTAGACAATAAAAATGGTCAAATAGACAGCCGTATCCTTTTTTTTTGGCTAAACAGTCGTATCCTTTTTAGGTATACGATGAGAAAACGGTATATTTCCCCCCGAGAAGTATCGCATCATAACAGATAAAGCCCAATCTTTGACCCCGGTCCCAATATCTTTAAAATGGAAGTTCTATTCCTATTTCCCCCCGAATCGAAAGTTCAACACCTAAATGTCCCCGAATCGAAAGTTCGAGAACTAATACCACACAGAGCTGGGTTGAATCTGTTTACTGTATTCAAAAACGATTAACGAACCAACTAAACCTTATTATAACCCGATTAAACCAGAGTTCTGCCCAATTACGACCCGATTTACTCTCTAAAACCGAAATCCCCAAATCAAAACCCTAAAATCAAAAATCCCCAAATCGAAAGAAAGAACCCTAGAGAGAAATTGCCTAGGGGTGATTTTGGGGTTTGGCGGATCCTAGTGTTGATTTTGGAGTCTGATCCTAGTGTTGATTAACTATGGGTACTCAGAGAAGTTTGTTGAGTAACCGATGGGTACTCGGAGAAGTTTGTTAAAGGGCAATGGGATAAAGAAGAGTGTGTTGCCGAGTGGAAAAAGTACAGAGACTGTCTCTCAGTAATTCCCTCTGCTTCTCTTCTTCAGTTCTATATATTCATGTTTCAGTTCTTTATTGAAAAATAGAAGAAAATAAAGAAATCATCATTTCTTCTTGAAGAGGAAGTGTGCAACCATCCACTCTTCTCCATTGTTGTACCCGAAAAGCTCAGCTACCGCGATGAAGAAGGTTCTCCAGTAAACCATCCACTTCACTGCTTCTTCTTTCCCATATGTCACTTCCATTATCTCTTTTATTGCAACTATCTCCTTGTCCATTCTTTTGAGCCACTCTTCACTGCAAAAAGTTGTATAATTATAAAGTAACAAACATTACAAGATAATTATCATCTTCTCTCGCTTTTTACAACAAATCTTCGGAGTTTTTACCTTGTCTTTGCATAATGCGTCCCGTTTACGAGCCAATGATCCACAATCGAAACATTTTCCTGAACAAACAACATATCTATTTATTTGGATATAATTGGATATTTAATCCATTGGAGAGATCGGAAAGCAAAACGTGATCTAAGAATGAGACAGGAGCATAAATTCATCAATTATATGTGTTTAATTTAAGCCTAATTTGGTTGATTTGATTTCAGAATGGGTAATGAAACAGATGCTCTCTCAATTTGATATATGGAAAGAGGTATAGATTTCAATTTGGGAATTTTGATTTCAATATGTAAATGATTCGTCTTTTTGAGGATTTGATTTGAAAAATCATGAAAAATATAATCTAGTTTCAAAGGTTATTAGATTTATACTCTTCAAGTCACATCAAAACTCAAGAGATTGAAGATAATGAATTCAAAAAGAAAGAAAGAAAAAAACAGATGAGGGAAGAAGATGAAGAAAACAAATCGGGTGAAGAAGAAAGTTGGGTTGGGTGGGTTTGGTCGGGTCATGTTCAATTAGTTGTTATTGGATTGAAATTGGTTTAATTTCGTTTTTAGTTGGTTCATCTTGGTTTGGTAAACACTAACCGAGCAAAACTAATATTTATGGGTAATTAGGAGAAAACTATGGATTTAGGGAGATTTAGGCTTCAATCTATGGTTTCAGAGACATATAAACCCAGGTTAAAGATTGGGCTCTATCTGTTATGATGCGATACATCTCGTGGGGAAATAGACCGTTTTCCCGTATACGATAGACCGGAATTGACATTCAAAATTATTTCCTTAGTTTACTATGATATATATATATATATATATATATATATATATATATATTTTAAAGACTATATATGATATATATTATTAAATTAATGTGACATAAAAATGTAGCAATTTAATTAATGAAACTAGTATATAATTGAAGAGGCAATCTCTTCTTCTCTAAGTTTTGGGTTATGCATTCTACTTCTATAAGAATAATGACGAAGGCTTTAATTTTAAAACAATTCCATCATCTCATTTTTGTCTTTACCCGTTTGCCGTTTCCTGGATAAACGTTGAAAGGTAGGTTATATTGACCATGTTTTCACGGATTAATAATTATATGCTTATTATTGTTCATATGTTATGTAACTCAAAACAAAAATTGTCTTTATGGTAATAATATATAAGGAAAAAAAAATTCAATTCAACTCCGATCTTTTCATTTCCGAATTTGATTTTGCCATTTTCACGACCAAATATGATGAACTCAGTAAAAGATCGGTTTATGGTCTAGGCTAACAAAACAGTACCTAAAATTACTATTGAACTAATTAATACAAACTGATGATGAAAAGGAAAATTTTTTAAAGCAAACAATTTTTTTTAACCTCTAAATCATTCACTGATATTAAATCCAATAAAAGAGTTGGTAAATCCAAATCCAAAATAGAACAAAGATATATAAACTAAAAAAAGAACAGACAAAAGCATAATTAATTAACAAAGTCGCCTTGGTCCAGTGGTAAAGAGAGGTACTTCCCGCCACCTGGGTTCGTATAGCATTGGCCACCGGGATTTGAGCAATTTAACATGGTTTCCCTGGACCCCAAGATTAGTTTTTGGATTTGCATGGAAACCTTTAGTTAAAACTATGAAACGATAATAAATGAGATTAATTACATGATGATTTCTAAACGATAGCATTACTCACTAACAGATTTAAAAATGGGCCTACCAAAAAAAAAAAACAGATTTTAAAAAAGTTATTTTCTTTTTCTACAATCAATCCCTATTTGACGATATAGTCGTCTTTGGCTAATATCTCTGGGATGAAACACCAATATTGTTTGATATTTATTATATTTGTGCTTTTGCATCAATTCGTCGCTTCTTTTCTTGTACCGATACATATTTTCGTCGTAGAGATGATTGAATCTCTTTAATTGTAGGCTTCTTTGTCGCTCGTAAATCATGCTTAACTAAACGTGTTTATAAGTGGATCTGGTGCTCCATTGATGATTGATCCCCAGATCAAATATTCAAAATACATCATATTTCCAAAACTTGCTTTTACCAATCACTGATACATCATTATGGATCGTAACATCCATATTAAAACAGTTTATTAATCTGATGTAGGATAACTTTTATGGAAGGCAGTTTAATTGGGTAAGACTAGATTAATTTTTTGTGATCACTTTCAAATGTAAGGAAACTAGATTTTAATCCGCGGTACACCGCGGGGCTATATTTTCTTAAAAAAATCAAAATGTAATTTGTTTGATAGATTATTTTGATTGTTAATTTTAGGATTTCACCCGTGGTATACGATCTTTTATAAATATCAATCCAAACCCGTCCCATCATATTACCCGTCCCGTGAAATTAAACATTATTTAGTTATTTTTCTTTTTAATAATACTTTTATTTAAAAGCTATATAATTCAAGTCAATTTAAAAATTTCTTTTAAATGGTTCCCATAAGATATATATACATATATATTAAATTTGTATAGAGTTGAAATAATATTAATATTACAAATTTTTTATATAATTTAAATATTATAAATATTTTTAAAAATATGTAATATATATTTTTTGTTATTGAATAAGAGGATATTATGTGTAAGAAATGTAGAAAATAAGAGTTTAATATTTTTATTATGGAGTCGCAAAAAAAATCTTTTATTTCTATACATGTTATTCATTTATTAATAATAAAAGAAAACAAATCCTTTAAATTAGATATTAACTAAAATAAACGCACCATAATTACTTATTAAGTAACAACCAATAAATTTCACCAAAAAATAGGTAACAACCAATAAATTCTAAACGCAGTAATTAAAGAATGAGATATTAAAAAAAAATATCAAATAAGATATAAGAATCTTAAAATAATTGAACATCTAAATAATTTAATTGTTAGTGTCGATTTTAATGCCTTCATTAATGTGGATTTTTTTTTTTTACAGAGAAATATTTCCTAAAGATTATCACATTAATGACTCAGAAAATTAAGGAAGATATGAATTTATGATTCTCGAAATCGTATTGGTAATATCTTTAAGTAATATTTTTCAAATTTAAATAATTAATGCCAATGGCATTCATCCGTAAATAAGGTCCAACTCCAGGATTTATTTGCTAAAAGTCATTCAAAAATGTATATATAGACTAGAATTTAACCCGCGGTACACCGCGTGGCTATATTTTTTAAAAAAATATAATGTTATTTTTTAAAGTTTAACTGAAGATATATCATATTAATTTGTATTTTTAAATGTAGATATCTATCTATGTATTATCTAGTGTATGATTACTATTGTTTAGGTTTCAATTTTTAAAGTATAGATACGAAAACATACATTTTTTTTAAGTAACGATGTATGGTTGATTTTAAAATTTTGAATATTTGACTCCGAAGTATACCGTGGGTCGGTTTTTTAATAACTAAAAATTTTAAGTTGTATTTGTTTTGTTAATATTGTTTCTTTTGTTTTGTGTTTAAGATTGTATAATTGTATTTTGATTGTTAATTTTAGGATTTCATCCTTAATATACCGTTATTAATATCGACCCAAACCCGTCATTCCATATAAACCCGTCTATATTATCCCATTAGCTAAATTATTAGTGTCATAAAATCCAAGAAAATAAATTATTAATGTAATAAAATCCAATAATTTTAGGATCTCACCCGTGGTATACCGTTCTTTGAATGATTTTAAATTTATATTACTAATATATATTTTAAATTTATCATATAAAATATATGATTTCAGGTTTTTGTGTTTTTATTTTATTTAAATAAAGCAACGGCTTAAATGATGACATATATAGTTTTTTTCTTGTATGTGTATATAATTTTTCTATGTGAATATTTTGATTATTATAAATTAGTATTTTTATTACTATGCAAAATGTTAATATAAATATTTGCTATAAAAGTTTTTTGAAGATATATGGAAAGATTGTGTAGAGATTTTTAAAAACAAATTAGGCAAGATTTTGTTTGGTTCATATCTTTTATTTAAATTTTGTAAAAGTAAATAATAAATGCCAATGGCATTCTTTGTAAATACATTCCAACTCCAGGATTTATTTGCTAAAAGTCATCCAAAAATGTATATATAGATACATGTTATTCATTTATTAATAATAAAAGAAAACAAATCCTTTAAATTAGATATTAACTAAAATAAACGCACCATAATTACTTATTAAGTAACAACCAATAAATTTCACCAAAAAATAGGTAACAACCAATAAATTCTAAACGCAGTAATTAAAGAATGAGATATTAAAAAAAATATATCAAATAAGATATAAGAATCTTAAAATAATTGAACATCTAAATAATTTAATTGTTAGTGTCGATTTTAATGCCTTCATTAATGTGGATTTTTTTTTTTTACAGAGAAATATTTCCTAAAGATTATCACATTAATGACTCAGAAAATTAAGGAAGATATGAATTTATGATTTTCGAAATCGTATTGGTAATATCTTTAATTAATATTTTTCAAATTTAAATAATTAATGCCAATGGCATTCATCCGTAAATAAGGTCCAACTCCAGGATTTATTTGCTAAAAGACATCCAAAAATGTATATATAGATTTATGAATAATATACATGATACCAGATTAATAATAAGCAAACTATTAAGAAAAGAGGGTAAACAGTAGTACTAACTAAAACTTCAATTGGAGTCTCTCGCCTCTCGGTTTCACGTAATAAACACAATATTATTATGTTGATGATTCGTTTACATATAGATTATGTGTCGTTAATCGACTTTAAAATAAAGATAAGTGAGCCTGCAATAATTGAGGAACACTTTTATGCATGACGAAAACATGACAACTAAAGATACGTAAAAGATTTGTCTAAACACTAACAGATTGTTGCCATATAACCAATTAACCATGTAAATAAAAAAGTAAGATACATATGGCCATTGGCCATTACTATTTTATTCTAAAATTAGGCTAAAAAGGAGTTTCACAAAAAAATATTAAAATAAATAAGGCAGCTGTCCTGAATAAACGAAGATCTTTGCCTTAGAAAATTGGAAGTGAATATGATAAGGCAACGATCACGACAGCGATGATGATTGATTGTCTTGAACTAATTTTGTCAAAGGTCTTTTGTCTTCCAAAAATTCAAGCAGATGTGTTTCTTTTTCTATAAATATACGTATTTATATATAGTTGTCAATATGTACATCAATGTGTATTTAGAGTTTTTATACCGGTGAATCTTTAAAGAACATTATTACTTTCATATTGCAAGTTGCGACATCTGAAACCAGCAGCCGAATAATGATAAAACTAGATTTTAATCCGCGGTGTACCGCGGGATGATTTAATTTTAAAGTTAATATAAAAATATTTTGTAAATTGTATCTCCTATAACATATTTATTTATATTATAGTTTACAATTGTTATTAAGTAACGATATACCATGAGTCCACGAGACAATTATTAATAAGCTGAGGATTTAACCCGTATTAAAGCGGTATATAAATATTGATTCAAATTTGTCCGCCATATAAATCCTTTCCGAAATATAACCCGTTCCGTAATTTCTTAACACGTCTCGTGATTTGTTTTTTATTTAAAAATTTAATGATTATTTATTATATATAAAAGTTTATAAATCATATTATCCTCTAAGACCACAGGACATTATACCACGGGACAATTTTTGGTTTTATACAATCTTTTCTAAATGAGACTGATTTAATATGTCTAATATTTGTGGTATTAAAAAAAAGGATTTAGTGAAGCGGCAGATTAATTATAGTTTAATCTTTTTATTATTGTTGATTCAAAAACCCGTCCCGCCAAACCCGTCCGGCCAAAAAACTCATTTATTTTATTAATGTTCTTATTTATGATATGATTCTGAATCATTGTCTAAATATTTTAATCGATGTAGAACGTTGAACACACATTTTCGTCAATTGGATAATATATGTCCGTTTTTTTAAATTTCGAATCACAGTATATGCAGAAAAAATTGATTTTTTTTTTTTACTTTATGTATTATATGATGATTCAAAACAACTAAAAACAAATCAAACAAAGATGATAGAAGAATCATAATTATAAATCTTAATCAAATCTTCTAAATATCTAAATTATTAAATATGAAATATCAGGTGTATGAGCAGGTGTATGAGTTGGGTTAAATATAGCCCGATCCAACAAATATTTTGTGAAGGAATTTTAAAAACGGATCGGGTATCCGATATATCCGGAAGCATTTTTACCCACCCGTCACTAAAGTGTTGCAAAAATACTAGTATAAATAGCGTCTCGAAAAGTATCTAAAATGATACTTTTTCTGTCAACAAGTATGATCTCAATTATCATTTCAAATTTTTTGTTTTTAATCAAAACTATCATTTAAATGCTGACAGAGTCACGCATATTTGTTTTTAAAGAGTCTTTAGATTTATGGATTAGTATAAAGAAATACTCCAAAATATCACAACAAAAAAATAGTTCCGAAAATACAACTTGTCCTTTATAAAAATATCAAAAATACAACAAAATTTATAAATTATATGTATATATTAATAGATAGTATATATTAATAGGGTCACTAAATAGTTTAGGTTCCCTTTCCTAAAATTTTAAACAGTATTAATAAACTAAAAATTTGTGGTGTTTCTGTAATTTTGGGATTTTGATGGTACCTTCAAAAACCATAAAATATGGTGTGTTTGATATTTGCCTTCAATATCAAGACTTTTAATAATTAAAAAAAATATATATAGTGATAAAAAAATTCACTTAATAAAATGCAAAAACATTTGTTATAACCTCATAATTTTATATTCCGGTACTATATGTGATCATGATTCTAGAAATACCATTTTTAAATTTAGCCCAAAATTTAGAATGTATCTAAAAATTTAACTTATCTAAAAATTATACCGAAATATTAATACCAAGATGTTGCTAAAAGTTCCACTAACTTATGTCTTAACTAAAATCCTAAATCCGTAATAAGAACAAAAAAAAAAGGAACCTCTTCTTTCTTGATCGCAAATATGTTGCAGCAAGGTTTGAGACTTTTACCACTAAAGGAAAGAAAGGTTCTCCGGTAAATCTAGACGAGGTGGAATTTTTTCTTCGGATCTACCACAAGCCTAACCACCAGATGCTGAAGTCAAGTTCTCATTTAGCTAATTACATAGCCGTAATTTATTTGGTAATTTATTTTACAAGTCAAATCTGTTTATCAAATCAATCAGTTGTTAAAACTATTAAAAACCTTGGAAGAGAAACCAGACTGTGCACTAATTAAAAAAGAACTAAACCATGAGTCCATGACCACGAGTATCCCAACACAAACTAAAGTCACTGTAGAGATGAGAGAGAGTTTTAAACATGTACTAAAAGCATCAATAATGGTGGCAGTATAAGCAGCACTATTCTGCTGCATTTGTGGATTCTGGGAGGAGACTGCTGCATTTGTGGATTCTGGTCCTTGTTAGTCAGATCTTTGGTCACAGAAGCATGCCAATCAAGCATAGCCTTCACTCCTCTCTGAAGCCATTCATAGTGCTGGACAGGATCCCATTTAAGACGTTGGAGAAAAGCATCAATAATGGTGGCAGTATAAGCAGCACTATTTCTCAGCTCTTGTTTCAAACCAGCGGGGGGCTTTAACACTTTTGAATACGCACCAACAAACTCACTGAAACATTTGAACCTGCTATCATCTGGATCCATAAACTGAAGCTCAGGTATCTTTCTTTTTGCCAAACCCAACCAAAAAGCAGCCCCATACCACGAGACAAAGTGTGCTGTGAGCTTAATAGTATCAAGCTCCTTGAGAGACATCCCTGGAGGATTACAAAACAGTAGAAAATCAGGCAGTTCTATGAATTGAGGCCGAGTACGGGGTTGTTCTGCAGCATCATCAACTTCTGAATCAGTAGCATCATCATCACCCACTTGAGAACGGTATTCGTTAAGCTTCTGCTTGTAAAATGCGTGAAAAGGATCCGATCTTCTCATAAAGTTGTAACTTGGATTATATACGTTACATTCCATCATCATTTCCTCAGCCTTCAAACCTTTGGCAACGAAAAGCGCCGTTCTCTCAATAAGAGTTTTGATACTACCTGGAGGTGGCTGAATGATTTTGGTAGTGCTACTTATATCAAAATCATTCTTGTGAGCTCAATTTCTGTATTCCATAAGCTTCTTCTGGTAAATTCCGTGATTAGGATCAGAGCTCATCAAAAAGCTGAAACCTGGAAACGAGTCCATGATCTTCTTCTCAAACTCAACTCCGTTTTCGGCAATGAATACTGCTGCTGACTCGATATCAGTTGCCATATCTGAAACATTCTGGTTCTGTGACATTTTTTCTACAACCACAAGTAATTAAACAATCAGATTCTTCAGTGTTTTTGACCTAGATTATTCGTATCAGATTCTTGAAAAACCAAAAACAATCTTTATCAAATCTACCAATCTTGAAGACGAAAGCTTAATACACACTCTCAGAGGAATTTCATCAAACACTTACTAGACATCAATTCTATTTGACAATTTCACTCAAATAGAAACTCTATTAAAAGCCAATCCTAAGCTAAACTCAATGCAACGAAGCAAAATTCTGCAAAGTGAACGAATCAACAAGGACAACAACAAATCAAATACAAGTTTGAGTCTAAAATCGTAATCAAAAGCAAAATAGCTCTCTGTAGTGATTGATTCAGGTAAGATCTTGATCTTATCGCTTGTTCTTTGCGTTGAAATCAGTACAGAAGAAAGAAAACGAGAGAAACAAGCGACGAGATTTCTTCACTCGAGAATTCTTCACTCTCAAGAGGAATCTACAAGATTTCAGGTTACGCAAGAAGAGTTTCAAAGCTACGTACGTACGTACCTACACGAGTCTCCTAGAGGTTGAGGAAGAAGACGAAGAAGAATCAAAACCAGATCTCTCTCTCTCTCTCTAGTCGATTTCTTCAACTTGTAGCTCTCAAACTCCTTTCTCTTTCCAAATTGTTTGTTACTACTGTTATAGCTCTGTTTGGAAGAAAACATGCAATCGCAACGGGAAATCGCTTTTTCATACCTCCACAATTACATTATGTTAAATTTATACCTAAACTATACAGTTGTGCTAAAACATACCTCCACTAATGAAACATTTGAATTTCATACATACACTTTATGTTTTGTGCAAAATCATGCCTACGACCTTAATGTCAATTACGTGGCATCCACGTGGATTTGTTTTATGCGAGTTTGTGGGAAAAATAGTTTTTTCATATCTCCACAACTACAATATATTAAATTAATACCCCAATCGCAACCGCCAAATCGCTTTTGATTTTGCAGTTGGGATTCTCTTCCTTTATGGGCCTTAAGCCCAAATCGCGGACTGACTCAAATAACTAATCCTAAGCCCACTTATTTAAACCCCAATCGGAAGATTTCTTTATTTTGGTCGGTAAAAGAAAGTTATTATTTCATGATTTTGTTTTTGATATATTAAATGAGTACTTACTTCATCATGAGTACCAGAAGCTACATGTCATCTCGTATTGTAAAGTTGATGAATGTAATCAGTAATCAGTAATCAATAATCAGTTGAATTTTAGTTTTGTCCAAATAATATCGACAAAATTACTGAATTTGGCTGCTTTCACATATGTAGCTTGTGGTATATATATGTGATAATCATACATATAAAAGTAAGGTTTCATTTTCCCATGATTGGTTCACTTACCAATTATTTTAAAAACAAATCAAAAATAATAATATTTGTCTCCAAATAAAGTATAAATACAACATATTTAATCATACACATTAATCAACTTTTAAGTACTAAATTGTAACTGAAATTATATAAATGTGTATGATTAAATATGTTTTGTTTTAGATTAAATCAACCTTTAATCAACCGCTTACATTTAATCAACGGCACTAAACTAAATTAAAAGAAATTTACAAACCACGCTAGATTGATAAAGAAGAGCTGGCCACATTTTTTTTTTCCTCAAACACCATTTATATTAAGAAATTGGAAAGAGACTCTCCGCTAGGGAGAGCCAATCAGGAACCGATGTGCTTACCCGAGCTTTTTTAAATAAACAATCTGCTCGACTATTAAAAATCCGAAGAATAAATCTAATCCTAAATGATGGGAAAAAACAGATAAGAGACCGAAAAGAGGCCAGTTCCGCTGCGAAGGTTGGCCACTCATCTTGATTTTCCAGGAGATATATCATATCTTAGCAATCAGAGGCAAAAGCACCAGTGGTATCGCCAATCGAGATCATGCATTCCATTGCCCAAAGTAAGGAGTCAACTTCCGCGTGGAGCGGTGATAGACTTCTACGAGCACTCCTTAGCACTAGATGACATACTTTGTCTTGTTCAACTAAGACCCATCCGTGCCCACTTAAAGAATCTTCCATATGCCAGGAAACATCAAAATGACATTCCGAGGACATAAGAGGAGAAGGTTGAGCCGGTACCGGGAGGAGAGGGGATTCTTCAGGAAATCTTTCTTTAAAATTTGCTAGTTTCCAAGCATTCGCCTCTTGGATTGCCAAGGCTAAAGTCTCCTGAGGAGGTTCTTTGAAATTTTCGAACAAAAATCTATTCCGATTTTTCCAGATATACCATAAAATCCATGGAAAAAGTTCAAGAACATCCTCTTCTATTCCGAATTCTTTTCCACGCCAGAAAAGAAAATCAAAATTATAGAAGAGGGAATTTCTAGGGAAAATGTGCCCAGAAGTGGGGATAGGTGACAATGCCCAAATCTGTCTCGAGGGCGGACAGTCAAAGAGAAGATGGTTTATGGATTCTTCAGGCCCTCCGCAACGAGGGCATCCTTTCTCATTGCCAATATGTCGGTATGCTAGTCTTTGACACGTGGCTAGACAACCCGAGATACATTGTCACGCAAAATGCATAAGCTTTCGCGTAGTTTTAAGCTTCCATACTTGTGCCTGAAGTGCCGAAACACCCGGTCCCTGAAAAGAGGGGTCACAAGTAGGACGAGATAAATCTCGCGCGGCCCAGTATCCTGACTTGGTATGAGACCAACTGAAACCATCACTCAAATAAGTACGACTAGGACGAATTCCTAGAATGAGTGGAATATCCGCGGGGTCAATCAAAGCTTGAAGACGATCCAGTTTCCACATCTTTGTTGTTTGGTTGATTAGGTCGTTGACATAGAGATGAGGATCTCTAATGTCAAGAATACTCTTTGCAGGTCTTGCAGGGATTGTGGGAATCCAGGGATCTTCCCACACTTTGGTAAGCATACCGGAACCTACGGTCCTCCGTAATCCAGAAACCAGGAGGGGTTTAGCAGCCATGATGCTTCTCCAACCGTAAGAAGGCCGGTTAGAAGTTCCTATATGTAAGTGATCGCTAAAGCGAAAGTAGCGACCCTCAGAACCCTACTCAGAAGAGAGTTTGGGAATCTAATAAGGTGCCATAGTTCCTTAGCTAGTAAAGCTAGATTAAATTCTTCAAGCGTCCTAAAGCCAAGTCCTCCATCGGAATATGGGGAGCAAAGTTTATCCCATGCTATCCAATGGATATCATTACTGTTATCATTGGTTTTCCACCAAAAGTTCGCAATGACACTACTTAGTATAGAGCGAATAGCCTTCGGGAGAAGAAAACACGACATAACATATGTCGGAAGAGCTGGAGCTACAGACTTAATAAGAACTTCTTTGCCGCCTTTGGACAAGAATTTTGATGTCCAAGTATTTAGCCTTTTTTGTAGTCTATCTCTCGCAAAAGAGAAAACTTTTACTTTGGAACCATAAATTTGTTCAGGTAAAGATGAAGTTTAATGGCAACCGCCACACCAAGATTGATACTAATCCGATCGATTGTTCGTATCCTTAGCTTCCAAACATTAGCAGCCAATCCGGGTGGAGGAATTATGTAAAAGAAAGCACACATTCGCGTTTGGAGAACATTATACTCGTTAGCAAGAGCAACCTCTACAACGGGGTTGAAGGCAGCATGGAGACGAAACCAACGGTCAAAATCAATAATTTGCCGCATCTGCAAACAATCCATAAACAGTTTAAGAAACAGTTGAAGAGAGTAGCATCAATAGGTTAAGAATGAATTTGCTAAAACTTGAACCTGATTAAAAGGAAGAATGAGGCGTTTGTGGAAACGCTGATAAGACTCTGGAGACAATTGTTCATAAGCAGTTTGCACATTGTTCAAGAAAACAAGTGCCTATGTAGTCATGTAGAAAGAAACGGATTTATAAGTTAGAGATATAATACAAAATCGATAAGAATATATATGTAATTAAGGTTAACAAGTTACCAAATTCAGCTGATTCCAGTGAGGACCATATTGTATAAAACGCTGTCTTATAGAAGTGGTTCTTTCTTGATGTCGAAAAGCCCATCTCTCAAACTCATGACACAATGCCGGGTAATAAGGACGTCTTAAGCACTGCAATGTGGGGAAATAAACAAGTTAACATTACAACAATGAGCTAACACAGAACATCAACAAGAAGAAGATACTAATGTTGCAATCCAATACCTTTCCACAGGTTTGCAATTTGCATTTTCCACATTTGATTTCGTAAACAAAGTCGTTTTCGATGAGATAGAAGTTATTACATTTTACGCATCGATAGACCATCTTCAATGGAAAAAAGCTGATGATCTACAAAACAAATTGAAACAGAGAGATAAGGTTTTATGCAGAGAAGAGAGAATACCAATTCTAAACTAAGTAACCTAAGAACAATTGGCACATCTCCTCACCAAAACTGGAAAAAGTTTGAAGCAGAGATAAGATCTTAAGCAACGTAGGAACAATTGACGAACATCAAATTTGGTATAACTGGAAAAATCTAAATCCAAATCATCAGTTTAAGGAGACGATCGAGTTAAGAACAAATGTTACTGAATCAAGAAACCCTAAAGATAAGATCAAGCAAGAGACGAACAAGAAACAATCTCTACCAAAGCAATCCTCTAGATCTTTAGATTAACAAGAAGCAATCTCTACCAAATCTATATCATCAGATTACGGAGACGAACAAGAAGCAATCTCTCTACCAAAACAATCAGCTATAGATCTATAAAATTGGAGCAATATATACAAAACCAGCTTTGATTGGAGAAGAACAAGATTCGAGACCAACCTTAGAGAAATTACTAAATCGGGAAACCTAAAAGCAAAATTGGAGACGAACAAGAACAGCTTCGATCACCGGAGAGATGGATGATGACGGAAACACCTCTGCATTTTTTTTTTTTGTTACCGGCGAGAGAGACGGTTTTCAAAATCCTTTTTTCATGAACTATCAAATTTAGTCAATGGGCTTGTCATTTAGTCAATGGGCTTGTGATGACACTTAAAACAATGGACGTTATAAATTTTTACAGATATTTTACAAGTTTTGAACAAATTTATAAGAATCTCCATTGGTAAAATTCAAAATAAAAAAATTGTTCAAGAACAAAAAAATAGAGATGGGAAGTGAAGAGTTTTGATAAAAGTGTAGTTGTGTGTGAATTGATACAAAAAGAAGAAGAAATAATTTGAAGAACCACAAGAATCAGAAGAGTATTTGATGATATTAGTAACGAAGAAGAAGATAGATTGTTGCAGATGGTTTTATAGGGAACAACTGGGTTTTAAATAATGTCAACATCTTTATATAAAGATAACTAAATATTCTCTCCTGATTTCACGTAACGTCTTAATTTTTCGTATTTATTTTTTTTTTTAACGTCAACTTTTATTAATTTGAAAGAGCATTGTCACACACAATTCAAGCTGGTTGATATTACAAAAGGAACAGATGAATAAAAACAAAATTGAGACTCTGGTGGTAATCTCTTCTTTGCAAGTATGTCCGCTGCCTTATTGTTGTCTCTGTTTGTCCAAAGAAATTTGCATTCTTCAAATCTCTTCTTCCATGACTGAATTTCTCTGATCCAGTTGAAAGCATCAAAATTCGATTTCTTACCATTGAGAACTGCTGTAACTTCCTTGTTATCACCTTCAAAACATAATCTTCTGTAGCCCCGACTCCAGCAATTTTGCATTGCAATAATTAGAGCTTGAAATTCGCTTTCGATAACATTGTTTGTGGTTCTGCCAGCTGCTTGTCCCGCTCCAAGAAATAAGCCATGATCATCCCGAATAACCCATCCTGCTTTAGATGCAGAGTCTCTAGTATAAGTGCCATCATAATTACATTTTACAAACCCCATAGGAGGTTTTGTCCAATGACGAGGTTGAGGATTGCTTGCGCTTGGATGATGATGGCCTGTACCATTGAGAGAAATAGATTCTGCATCGTGCCAATCTTTGGTATCTCTTATCGCATAACTTAGGTTAGTCTTCCAATGAATGTGGTGCCTTTGAAAAACCAGAGAATTCCGACTTTTCCAAATTCTCCAAAGGATCCAAAGAGGTAGCTGTTTTAGGTGTGGAGTTTGAATTGATGTGTTGAACTGGAAAATGGCTTTGATTTTGTCTTCCCAATTGGCTGCAGGATCAAAAACAATTGGGTTTGGTAAACCAGAGCCTCTCCACATTGCTTGTGCATACACACACCCAAAGAACAAATGATTGGTGGTCTCATTCTCCCTGCAACATCTCTTACATTTTGCATCATTCACAATGTGTCTATATCGAAGATTCTCACCGGTTGGGAGAGCATTGGAAAGGAGTTTCCAACAAAAGTGTTGCAATTTCGGTGCCGTTTTTGTTTTCCAGAGAAGTTGTTTCAGCTCTACATTCCCAGGGGGTGGTTGAGGTCTTTGGTTGTCATGGAGATGCGTAGCAAGCCAATAAGCAGATTTGACGGTATAGAGTCCATCCTTTGTATAGTGCCAGCCCAGTAAGTCTTGCTCAGCCGTAGAACAGATTCTTAATTTCTGAATGCTGGTTATATCCTCCGGTTCTACCCATTCATTTATCTTCGTAATATCCCAGTCTGTCCTAGTTTCATTCATCATATCTTGGACAAGAATCAGTAATGAAACTCCTTCTCTCATTCTTGGTGGTCTAGGTGGATGAGTAGGTAACTATGATTAAAGATTATGTCACAGTTTGCTAATTAAACTAATTAAAGAGTGAAGTCGTAAAATCCTGTTTTTTTATATCTATATATACATTTTCGGAGACATTTTTGAAATAAATTCTGGAGTTGACACTTATTTACAATGTAATGCCACTGACATTAATTCTCAAGATTTGTTTATTTAATTTAATATATGTAAATCTAATTTTTTACCAAAAATCTGGAGACAATCTTTCTTAATATCTAGACAATGATCATTTATACTCTATTTAAATTAAGATTTTCAATTCAAAATCACTTACAATTTATTGTCCTATATTATCAACACAAAATCTCCCAAACAAATATTCATACCAACAAATTTAAAGAAATTTTTAATACTACTAACAATCGGAATTCAAAAAATCCGTATAATTTGTTTTCAAAATAATTATTATAATTTATATATTCAAAGTCAATAAATTTTTTTATAATATTATAAATATTTGAACATATCAAAATTTTAAACTAACACATGACGGGTTATATTACGGGACAAAATTATATGGCGGGGTAGAGTTATATGGCGGGACGGGTTTGAATCAAAATTAATAAAATTTTAAAATACCATTAACTTGTTCCTTCAATAAGGTTAAATCCTCATTTTATTATTTTGGAAGACCTGTAATATTAGACATATCGAATCAGTCTAATTTAGTTAAGATTGTATAAAACAAAAATTGTTTCGTAGTATACCGGTACTTAATGACAATTATAAACTATAAATTATAAATGTCTTAAAAATGATACAATTGCTAATTTATATATATATAATACATAATTTAAAAAACTTGAAAATCATGAGTTTTAGAAAAAAATCAACCCGCGGTGTACCGCGGGTCAATCGCTAGTCTTATTATATAAAGTATGGTTTTCAAAGTTAATAACTCATATTATCGCTACACGTGGCAAATATATCGATCTTAGATTTTGACACGTATAAAACAAAAATTTCCTTTTTAAAATAAAAAGAAGATAATTGAAAGTAATTACAAATTTAAATAATTTTAAAAATATAAAAGATAATTAGAAGAATAATTGTAAATAATTCATATTTCTATAAAAAAAATTTGAAAATGTCAAAAGATAATAATAAAGAAATTATACGTTTTTTATATTTCAATTAAACAAGCAAAAAAATCAGGCAAATTTATTAAAAATAAAACATATGTTATTATATATTAGTTTAAAATTTGATATTATTTATCTCAATTTCTTTTCTAATTAGAAATATGTGATGATTTAATTAAACTAATCCTCATATTATTTATTTGAGTTTTTTTTTTTTTTTTTTTGGTAGGCGAGCGGGAGGCAATGCCTCCCACAATTTATTCAAATGAAAGAAAAAAGACTAAACACGAACATTTCTTGGGCGCGCAGTCCCATTAGCATCCTCTAACGGAATTAAACTCAACTCGTCAACCCGAGTCGGAAACAAATGAAAACCTAAAGGTAATGTAAACGCATAGTTAGCTAACCCATCCGCAAGACAGTTAGCCTCCCTATACACGTGAGCGATACGGACTATATCCAGTCCCTTGATATGAAGCCATGGCACAGTCGTACCATGAACGACAGAGGGTGTGTGTCACTTATCCCTGTCTGAAGAAACCCTACCACAATCTCGGAGTCCACTTCTAGCTCTAGTCGCGTGATGCCTTGAGTTTATTTTTTCAATTATAAATATGTGAGATAGGGCTGGGCCGGATCCGGATATCCGGCTTTTTTTGGGTATCCGGATCAGGATCCGGATCCGCTTTTTCATTATCCGGATCCGGATCCGTTCCACCCGGATATCCGGATTTCGGATATCCGTAAAAAGAGCCGGATATCCGGATCCGGGTTTTTTTAATATAATTTTTTTTATTAATATAAAATTTCAAGAAAAATATTTAAAAACAAATAATTTAATATAAATAATTAAAAATATTATTCTTATATAAAATAATAGAATTTATTAATAAAATTTAAATAATAGTAATAAAATATTAAAAAAATATTATTATTATATAAAATATCCCGGATCCGGATATCCGGCTTTAAATTTTCTATTATCCGGATCCGGATCCGGATCCGGCCGGATCCGCTTTTTCATTATCCGGATCCGGATCCGCCCCACCCGGATATCCTATTTTTCGGAGCGGATCGGAGCGGATCCCGGATCGGATCCCGGATCCCGGATAATTGGTCTCACCCCTAATGTGAGATCAATTTTTTTTCCTTTTTTGTAATATTTTTTACTTAACTGTTTTTTTTTTTTGTCCTCAATTATGATTGTAGTATAGTTAGATTGTTTATTTCAATTTCTCTTTTCATATTTAAATTATCAAAGATTCATATATCATCATGTTTATAATTTTTTATTTTTAGTTTAACTGTTATATCTTTAAATTATTTATTTTGGTTTCTACGTTCAGTTTAAATTTTATAAGATCTATAATATATCACAGTTCTAATGATTTTTGATAGCGACATGCATCATGATTTAAATTACAAATTTACATTATTTATATCAATATTATTTTCTAATTAGAAATATGTGATGATTTTAAGTAAAGTGTTATATTGTTTTATTTGAAATTGTTGAATATGTAAGAAACTTATATGCTTCTTTTTTTGTTTTTAATATTTTGAATTTAATTATACTATTTCAAGAATATTTATTTCAATTTCTATGTTCATATTTGAATTATATAAGATTCATATATCAGCGTACTTATAATTTTTTGAATTTATTAATTTTTATTGATTGATCATAAAGTTATTGCAATCGAGTATATAGGAATTGAACCCGCAACATTAGCTTGGAAGGCTAAAAAATTTAGGCGATTTATCATCTTTATATTTTTAACGTGTTGAATTAAACACCACTTTGGTTTTATTCACCAACTTTATGATGAATATTTTTAATTTTTGTTCTTCATTTAAGTATACCATGAATTATTGTTATGTGATATATCTTTCATTCGAAATAATTTTGAATTAATAATTTTAGTTGTTAAAGAAACAAGGCAACAGTGCAAAAATAAATATTGTTTTTACTTTTGAAATAAAATTTCTACTTACAACGTTGTCAATTAATTTTTTTGTTAAATTTGATTTTAATTTTTTAAAAAATAAAACCGTCCATCGGACGGGTCTTTATCTAGTACTATATAAGATCTTATCATTAAAATCAATTCTTTCTATTTTTTTCATATTTTTTTTTCATTCATTAATCTTAACATTGACTAGTATATTTTAGTGAACATGTTGTGTGTTGTTGGAGACGAACAAGAACAGTTTCGATCACCGGAGATACTTGCGATGAAACTAGCTTCGATCACCGGAGATACTTGCGATGAAACTAGCTTCGATCACCGGCGAGATGGATGATGACGGAAACACCTCTGTATTTTTTTTTTTTCGTTACCGGCGAGAGAGACGGTTATCAAAATTCTTTTTCCATGAACTATCAAATTTAGTCAATGGGCTTGTCATTTAGTCAATGGGCTTGTGATGACACTTAAAACAATGGACGTTATAAGTTTTTACAGAGATTTTACAAGCTTTGTACAAATTTATAAGAATCTCCATTGGTAAAATTCAAAATAAAAAAATTGTTCAAGAACGAAAAAATAGAGATGGGAAGTGAAGAGTTTTGGTAAAAGTGTAGTTGTGTGTGAATGGGTACAAAAAGAAGATAAAAAAATTTGAAAATCAGAAGAATCAGAAGAGTATTTGATGATATGAGTAACCAAGAAGAAGAAGATAGGTTTGCTGCAGATGGTTTTATAGGGAACAGTATGGTTTTAAATAATGTCAACATCTCTATATAAAGAAGGGTAAATTTCAAGTTATGGCAGTTGACCAAGTTTTATTTTCAAGTTTTGGCAAAGTGAGAATGAGTTTTCATGTTTTGACATTTTGGCCAAAATCTGACCATTTTACCCCTACCGATGTACTGTTCACTGTACGGTTTAGTTAAGCGTACGGTTCAGTTAAGCGGTTCACTGTACGGTTCAGTTAAGAGGTTTAGTTACGTACACTGTTCCGGTTACGCAATATATTTCGCTCTTAATTGATTTTGTGCGGGAGTACAGTGACAAGTTGGGATTAAAAACATTAAAACACAATGAGACATCAGTATTTAATGCCCAAAAAGTTTAGACATGACTCATGTCACAATTAATGCAAAAGTCATCATTACTTTTTCTAATATTAGTTTTTATGCGTGAATAGTTGTAAGAGACAAACATGATCCATGAAACAAACAAATTTTTCTGAACGAATGTGATTCTGCATCGGTTTGATCTTCTTGATTTACAAAGTTTGGAGCCAAGACAAGCATTGAACGTGTAAGTAATGAAATTGGTTAAGAAGTTTTTTGTTTTAACACACTAGGGTCTTGATTGTGTGCTAAGATCAACATTGTTTTTATATAAAAACCCAGAATATTTTTATTTCCACTTTTTTTAGTTGAAATTGCTAAATGAGGATAGATTTATGTTTATAAGTGTGTAGTTGGGAATTCTTTTTGTTTTTTGTAGATATAATCATGCTTTCATTTGCATTTAATGGGGTTCTGCTGAATTTATGATGCAGGTTGGTAATGGATATTCCCGTATTTACTATGGTGGGTGAGTGGAAATGCAAAGAAGAAGAATGGAAATTTGAACCATGGGAAGGCTGGTTTGGTCGTTGTGTACGTGTTAGGCAAAACATGACGTACACGGCATTTGTACGTACATTATGCGAGGTTTTCAGTTTGAAGTGCACCGAATGCAATCTAATAATTAGTTACTGGATGCCGGGAAAGATGTCAGTGATGATAGAAAGTAAACGCCCTCCTGTATACATTGACAATCAAATGAACCTGGATACATTCTTTTTGATTCGTGGTGGGGATCCTAGTGTCACCTTGTTTGTCTCTTTCAAAGCACTCGGGAATACTGTCCCTAGGACCGATGGTGAGAGTTACCGTGTGTGTGGGAGTGCAACGACACCAAATCCCATCCTAGCGGCTTCAAATGTAGATGGAAATAATGAGGCCGTAGATGAGCATGACGACGTTGAAGACGATAAAACAGATGAGGATGAAGAAGAGGAGGAGGACAACGAAGATGGTGCTGGGTATGATGATTATCAGGGTGATGATGGATCTATGGGGGGAAGTACCCTCGATCCTACTATAGACGGTAGTGAAGGCAGTGGCGAAGATTACGATTACAACAAGTGGAACGATTTAATTATTGAAGAATATGGAATAGGGAATGTTGAGGAGGACGTCATTCTCACTCAACAAACGGTTCAACATCCAGGGGAATTCAGTCGTCTATTGGCAGAGTGTACGTACACAAGTCATCGTGTACCTGGAGGAAATAACTCGGTTGACCGTACACCAACGGTGACTCCAAGACGTACGTGTCAACATGGTTTGTACCAATGTACGTACACAACAGAATGTGTACAAGATACAGGCAGCGAAGGTAACATCGATACCAATATTAATGGTATATACGATGTCTCTGGGGATGATGTTATCGACCGTGGTATTGGAGATTCCCCAAGTGGGACACTGAATGATAATCGGCTAGTTACTGCACCTGGCGGAGATAACATTTCTCATTCGGGTGACCGTACACCAACGGGGACTCCAAGACGTACGTGTCAACATGGTTTGTACCAATGTACGTACACTACAGAGTGTGTACAAGATACAGGCTGCGAAGGTAACACGGATACCAATATTAATGGTATATACGAAGTCACTATCGACCGTGGTATTGGAGCTTCCGCAAGTGGGACACTGAATGATAATCGGTTAGTTACCGCAGCTGAGGCTTACGAAGTGTATAATGACTTTTCTACATTACATGGTGGCGAGTTGGAGATTCTCGATAATGATGCTGCTCCGGTATTCGATGATTTAGCCAATTTACGAGATGATGAGACACAAGTCGAACTGAGTACGACAGGTGAGACTTTGTATGTCGGGAGTGTTTTTATGAACAGAAAAGTCATACAACAAACAATGTCTTATCTCGCAATCAAACAATGCTTTTGCTACAAGCAACGTAGGTCATGTCCTACAAGATTGGAGATGGTCTGCGTTGATGATACTTGTCCATGGCATTTGACAGCTCAAGTTGTCAAGAATTCAGAATGTTTCAAAATCACATCGTATGATACCACCCATACGTGTGACATCGACACTCGTAAGAATTATAATAAACATGCTAGTTATAAGCTTCTCGGAGAGGTAGTGAAGAGCAGATACAGTTCTACGCAAGGGGGTCCGAGAGCTGTCGATTTACCACAGTTGCTCCTAAATGATCTCAATGTTCGGATTTCATATTCTACCGCTTGGAGAGCTAAAGAGGTTGCAGTGGAAAATGTAAGGGGGGATGATATAAAAAGTTACAGGTTTTTGCCTACCTATTTGTATCTTCTTAAATTAGCTAATCCGGGTACGATAACTCACCTACACTCTACACCTGAAGCTGATGGTACGCAGCGCTTTAAGTATGTTTTTGTATCTCTCGGGGCTTCTATAAAAGGTCTGAAGTATATGAGGAAGGTAATTGTCGTAGATGGAACGCAGCTAGTAGGACGTTACAAGGGATGTCTCCTCATTGCATGTGCCCAAGACGGGAACTTCCAAATATTTCCAATAGCGTTTGGTGTTGTGGATGGTGAGACTGACGCTTCATGGGTGTGATTCTTTGATAAATTAGCTGACATTGTTCCAGACAATGAAGATTTAATGATTGTATCGGACAGACATTCTTCAATATATAAAGGCCTCAGTGTGGTTTATCCGAAAGCTCATCATGGTGCATGTGCAGTACACCTTGAGCGAAATATCTCCACCCATTATGGTAAGTATGGTGTATCTGGATTATTCTTCAGCGCTGCTAAAGCTTACAGAGTGAGAGATTTTGAAAAATACTTCGAACAGTTAAGGGCTAAGAGTGCTGCATGCGCAAATTACTTAGAGGAAATTGGATTTGAGCATTGGACAAGAGCTCACTGTAAAGGGGAACGCTACAATATCATGTCTAGCAACAATTCGGAGTCTATGAATAATGTCTTAACAAGAGCCAAATCATATCCGATTGTGTACATGATAGAGTTCATTCGAGAGGTCCTAATGCGATGGTTCGCAGCGAGGAGGCAAAAAGTGGCTAGGTGTAAGTCTTTAGTGACGCCTGAGGTTGATGAACGTTTTCTCCAAGATTTGCCTGCGTCAGGGAAATTAGCGGTTAAGATGTCTGGACCGTGGAGTTATCAAGTTACAAGCAAGTCAGGTGAGCATTTTCATGTCGTTCTGGACGAGTGTACGTGTACGTGTCTTAGGTACACAAAGTTGAGAATCCCATGTGAACACGGTCTAGCAGCTGCAATCGAGTTTGGAATAGATCCGAAGGTTGTTGTAGGATGGTGGTATGGACTTCAAATGTTTTCCGATTCTTTTCAAGAACCGATTCTACCTATCGCGGATCCGAAGGATGTTGTCATCCCACAACATATATCGGATTTGATACTAATTCCTCCATACTGTAGACGACCACCAGGAAGACCAACAACCAAACGGATTCCATCTAGAGGTGAAAACCGGGTAAGTGCTATCATTCAAACCCCTTCAGATTTTTCAAACATTATGTTTTGAGTATAAGATACGTAGATTATTAACTTATTGTTGTTGTCATTTCAGAAAAAGAGACAGAAAAGACTTATTCCGAATCAGTGCACACGATGTAGACAAGCAGGTCATAACAAGAAGACTTGCAAAAATCCTATTTAGTTCTCCTCATAAGCTTTATGTCTCCGCGAAGACAGTGTACGTTTATGTGTGGACAGTGTGTACCAAAGTGTTGTGACGGTGTACGTACGTTTAATGTTTGCCATCGTATAATAATGTACGTTTTCTGAGTGTACGTTTTTGTTAGTGTACGTGTTTGTTGTGTCTGTGTACGTATAATCTTCATGCAATAAACGGTTACAAACGGTTACACACTTTTGTATCTCAACCGTTGGAACACTTTCGCACTACCCACCGCGTCCGTTACGGAATTTCCTTATTTAAGCCACATCTCCTCCTCAATTTTATCCACGTTCCTTCAAACGAAAACCCTTTCACATTCGGCAGTTACATCAATCAAACACAAAGTCTTTCGATTGTTCTTGCTAACCGTGTGATGGCCGGGTATCACACCATCTCCGAATTGTGTCCTCAGATCACTGGGTGGACAATTTGTGTATTTGTCGTGAGAGTGTTTAAGAAGTTTGTTGCGCCCAACATCTTCGAACTCGGCCTAATCTTGGCAGATAATTCGGTAGTTTCCCTGTGCCGTGTTTGTGTTTTTTTATCATACGTTAGGTTCAATTCTATATAAATCTGTTATATATCATATTCTGTAGGGATCCCGTTCCCGTATCGAGGCCACCATTGATCGTCGCCTTGCTCCTTTTTACATAGACCGAATCAAAGAAAATGAGTGGAAAATTGTGACCACTTTCTTGGTCCGTAACGTCGCTGACCCAGTGAGAGCAACATCTCATGACTACGGCATATGGTTTATGGATCGGACCGTCGTTACTAACGCCTTACGAAGGGACCCAATATCGTTTTACGATTTCACTCAATTCGACTACATTTTGGAGAAAACAGTTGATAAGAAAGTTTTAGTCGGTGAGATGTTTTTTAAGTTACGTTTTATTTACACATTTTTGAAATTAGAAGTTTGTTTCTATTTTTTTGGCCCTTGATGTAGATGTCATTGGAGCGTTGTTGGAGGTTGGCCACTTGACCGGAGACTTCTACGGTCTCAAGCTTCCTTTCAAGATCAAAGATAGATAGTAAATGTTCTTTTCACATTTGATTCACTTACACTTTTTAATCTAAACGCTGACTTGATTCTTCTTTTAATCTAATGCAGCAACGAAGTTTTGGAATGCGAAGCACACAATGAACAGGCGTTGGAATTCCAAACCTTCTTTCGGAGTCTAGGTCAGCGCAATGTTGTTGTCGCACTCGTGTTCTGGCGTTTAACCGACAGAGCTAATCCTAAGGTTGTGAGTCATGGTCCTGTGTCAAAGGTCTTTGCCGATCCGGACACACCGGAAGTGGAAGAGATCAAGCAGGTCGTTTTTTAGATAGGGGGATTTGTTTTCCCCAGTCTTCTTATTATTAATGACCAGATTTATATTAAGTATTGTAAAACTACATAAACTTGTTGTCGTTTTCTAATTACTTGAATTTGTATAATAAACTATTGGATAACTGTACGTACATTTTATACGTACATTGTCTACAATTACAATTAATTTGCCAGTGTACGTTTTACTAGCTTTTTGGTTCTTCAATCAGCAAATTGTACGAAACCCATGTTCGCACACGAAAACATACATATATCATATTTGTTGTCCTCAAACAACAAAAACTTCATTCATTCATAATTAAATGCCCGAAGAAGGACATACATTTAAGAAAGACAAACTATATATTAGATGCGGAAGCAATAAACTAAAAAGTAGAGCCCGAAGCATACACATGAGCCGGAAAATTGTATGCCTCATCCGTCATTATCAAAGTCATATCTAATAGAAGACACACATCTCCCTCGCGTACCAGTAAAAGAAACACCCTCTGCAGCCGGAACTGTACGTGCAACGGCCAAGACATGCCGCTGTGTGCACATACCTCCATGAACGTTGCCAGAGCCGAGGACCTTCGGTGTGAAGCTGGCTTATGTGATACATCACCATCTCCCCCACTGCGTGAGCTGCCGCTAATGTGGGTGTCATCGCCCAGAACATATCGCTGACTGGAAGAAAGTCGACATGGTTGCCAGTACAAGTTAGGAATAAGCCGGTCGCGAAGCAGGCGAGAGGGTTGGATGGAGCGACGGAGTTGAGTAGTGTAATGCCGTGGGCCACCGTTAGGAAGCTGCTTGCCTGGCGGACACCTTCGAGGTATATAGCCGGGATCGCACCCCTTTCCAGCAAGAGGCTGAAGTAGGCCCTGAAGGGAGACTCCGGCTGCACGAAGTGAGGCCATGTGATGAAGTCGTCCATCACTATTGCGTTTACGTCACTTGCTTCGACCAATTGGCGGAGGGTCTCGATGGGAGTCTGGGATACGGGCAGGTAGTTGATGAGGACGGAAATCGGGTTTGGCAATTGTATTGCAAGGTACATCTCGGTTGGAGGGGTTGCGGGGAAAGCCATGTTGTTAACAAAGGAGGTTTAGAAATAATCTTGCAGTTGATGAAAGAAGGAAGTTTTAGAATGATGTGAGCAAATAAATTAGTGTGTGTGATATCGTTTATATAGGGCCTAAATATTGAGTTCATGTACATGGCTACATTTGGGGGGAACGCATTAATAAAGTGTCATTATTTTAAAGTTCCTCTTGTCTGACAAATGCAAGTGTACATTAATTGCAAACCGTGTACGTAAAGTAAGGAGATTTATGGGAAAAGATAGAGGTCATTCTATGAATAGAGCTTGACAGTATGCATTAAATAACCACTCCAAAACTTGTAGATATGGGTTATTACAGGTCAAATCAATCAGCATTGCATCATCATTTGCTACCATCTCGAAAGTCGCTTCTCATATTTCTAGTTTCAAACCAACTAAAATACGTGTACACAGTAACGTATACCCGTGTACGTATGTCTACCATTATTACGTTCTCTGACTAAAAGTTTGAGTTGATGTCTGTCGCCGAATTAGGGGAAAAGATTGAGTTCATGTATATGGCTAAATCTGGAGGAAACGCATTAAAAACCAAATCTCTTTCTTTTGCATTTTCGTTTTATCTGACAAAAGACAGTGTACATTAATTACAGGGATGTGTACGTATATATGTACATTAATTTGCGTTTTTTTTTTTTTTTTTTTTGAAAAGATAGAGGTCATTATCAATGGCTAAATCAGGTCAGTATGTATTTACTGATAATTCGTAAGCCTGTGTAGACAAGGCACCATTATCTAACATTAAAAAACTTGTTTCTCAATTTAATATAAAATATTACAATTATTTGTAACCATTCATAAGATTGAGTAGTATATGAGAAACAAGCAAGGATGTAGATAAAAATATATTCATTACTGATAAGCCTATTTACAATTGCAAAGGCCACATATTATAACATAAAAACTTAGAAATTCAGATAATATTACGTAAGAAATCCCTAGAGAATTTGACTAATTCTTCTCGCACACCACCAGAGGTAACATACGTTGCACACATTCTTGAAGGGTCCAGATCTGATGTAACACAGCATCGCGCAAGGAGGCGTTTGAATACCACGTTCCTCAGGGTACGAAAAGGTTGCGCCGTATGTGTTGTTTAACCTAATTCCATAATTTTTTATTTCTTCTAGGAGTTCCTCACACATGTCACGTGTTTCTTCTGATTCCAAAGCGTAATGGTTGTTTGCGAACAGGCGTAGGTACACACCACCCATGTGAGCATTCCCGTCGCATATGCACAGAATAGCGCAGGCCAGGGTTGCATCGGCGTGCCTTGGTACATTCCGCTGTAAAAGTACAATGGCGCCCTTAATGTCAGACTCATGGGTAACTAGACGCAGTCCTTCATGGTAAATAGCAATCGGGTTACCAGCCTCTAGACACCTTTTGAAAAAGGGTCTATATCGACCTTCAGCGTTGATGTCATTCGGATCATGGCCTGCCGCATGGAAGTCATCGGGATCACTGCACATGCTATAAATATTAGCATCTTTCAAGACATCCGGCCTGTAGACAATGTTTCTTCCACCACGCTCTGATCTTAACAGAGGTCCGAGGTACCACCAACATTTTTCAGCCATTTTTTTGGCTATCTTGGCTAGCAAATCTTCTGGTAGATTTGGTGTAGACATTTCTTGGAATTTGGTGTTTCAAAACAATGCAATTCCTACTCTTAAATAAAGAACAATGAAGTTAGTTGGTTAAGTTATGGTTGTAGTTAATGCAATCTTACGTAAGTGATGATGCAGTGGGGGAGGGTTGTCAAATCAATGTAAGTAAAGAAATAGATATCTTATTATGAGAAAAATCGACTTTGTGTAAAAGACGTACGTTATATAAGATGTACGTACACATGTTGGTTTTGGAATAAGTGTACGATGTGCAGATTGTTTAGAGAAGATAGTTATAACGATTACATAAATATTTTGAGGATCTCCATAATTAATTACGTTGTTCTAATTAGGTTGTTGAAATAAGGAAATAAGTACTAGGAAATAAAAATAATTCAACATCCAGGGATGATTACAATAAACGCCGGTTACCACACTCGCGCTTGCCGTGCTCGTAGATTTCTGTTGCGTACACCTGACGGTAGGTGGCCATATCTGCTTCTTGAATATTCACCAAGTCTGACATTGGGTTACCAAACGCCAGCAACTCCAAGAACTTCATTGCGTAAGGCCCGCAATCTCCTGTACTTGGGTTTTGAGCGACCATAACATTTCTCTCATAGGCAAAAGGTTCAACTGAGTACTTCGCAGGCAATACATCCGCGCACATCGCTCTCACTAGGTACGGCATCATCTCGCAGACAGGCTGCATCTTTGACCATGCAACAGACTCCCGCGTGTGTTCTATGAGAGCGTCATAGACAACTATATTCCGGGCTCTGAGGTGGATTGCCAACCCAACCCAATGATCACCTTTCCAGTTCATCGGAGCATATACCACGTCGACATCCTTGAACCACCTAAGACTAGGTTCACGGTGTATGTGTATTCCATTGGCCATGTCGTATAGCCGGTCGCCCCATTTGAACCCATACTTATTTCTACAATTCCTGAAGCTGACAGCACGCTTAGTAAGCTCATAAAGCAGGAAGGAGTCCAAAACAACGCATCGGTTTGCTATCATTTGTTGACCGTTCTTGTGCCACATCAAGATTGCGAGCATTTCCAAGACCTGAAATGAAAATAGCATAGGCAGTCAGTGTACGTACAATTCAGGCATATTTAAAAAATGTACACAAATGTACTATTTCAACTTACCATATTATCCACCCACTGTCCTTCTGCTATAAGCATGGAGAAAAACTCGTTGTCCACTTTGCGATACCCGAAAAGAGTGTGCTTCCTGTATATCCAATATTATAGTATGCCTGGTTTTTATAGAAAACCAATGTATCAATTAAGGGATAATTTTGATAATGCACGATACTTACACATTCAGACCGCGGAGGACATTGGTTAAGATCTCTAATTTGGAAGCATCAACCTTCTCCAAGGGGTTGTAAGGGACATTTCCAGCCGCTATAACCACCTCTGTATCTTCAGCTCGTCCAGGAACATCCTGCACGAGGACTGTTGTTTCCTTAAAACCTTCCGGAAGGGCGTCATCCATCTCAACAATTATTTGCTTCTTCATTTTTTTGGGTACAACCGGCGTAGGAATTTTAACTGCTTCGACTGAAGCATCGTTGTTTGGTTCATCCTGTAAAGAAGTATTATTGTAAACAGCATGATTAAACAATTTCAAAATGTAATGATAATATTTACTGGGAAGATACTCACAATATTTTCTAGTGTACCAACTGTCGTGTCTGCTTCATCTAACCCTGGGTTTGAATCCTCTTGTTCTTCCACCCCGTCGATAATCCCCTGCTGCTCCAACACTCCCTTTTCAAATTAACGTGCAGAATTATTTAAATGTACGCATACAATCCTATGTACGTATGTTAATAACTGTGTATAATTTTAAACCAAACACGAGATTTTTACCTCCTTTACATTAGCTGCATCCACATCCATGGAGGCTTTCGTTGCCAACTCCTGTAACACCTGCATAATAGAAGATTATAAATTTAAACAAGCCTACACTACACTATTTTATTTAAAAATATAGTTAGCTTACATTCCTAACTACTGCAAATGGTGAAGGGGGATCCCCTAGGGTGCCCTCAAGTACTGAGTCATCCACTTTACTCTCTGCAACTACATTGGGTACATCTCCCGCATCAACCTGTGGCAGTAGTTATCAACTTCATCGGCTATATACTCTATTTTGTGATGTCTGAAACAATCATTACTTATACGTACACGGGAAATAAGAAAGACAAATGTACGTACACTTACACCGGGTTCCTCGGTGTGTTCAGCCTGAGAAGATGTATCTCTATCATTATCCTCAGAAATTTCTGGTTGCTCCCCAACATTTGCTTCACTCTCAAGACCGGCACCATGTTCTTCTCCCTGAAACAAATATACCATACACGTCATTCAGTGAGTA